AAACATTGGTTCTGTCATGATCCTGCCACAAGACCAGGAATAATCAATAACATGATGGCAGAATCATGACAACCCCTCCCTGAGTCTCTCCGTAAGGCTGCACTCCGCTACTAGTTATTTCAGAGATTTTGGATGAGTGAGATTATTTGTGTGTTTTGTTATTGTATCCGAAGCTTGTATATAGGTACACTGTGTAGGAATTTCTCCCATCTAGCGGTGAAATTGAAATTTTGCATTCAAACAAATAGTGCTCTCTAGCCATAGACAGTAAAAGAAATGGACACAGCGACCCCATAGATTTCAACGGAGAAAAGTGAAGCCAATTAGAAGCACTCACTTCCTGATGGCTCAGCGTACTGCGCAGGCTCAAACTGAGCTTGATGACGTAGATGTGACGTGAGCAACCTGTCTGACAGTTGTAAGTATTCTAGTAGCTGTGCCAAGAGGAATCTGAATCATTCCCTTCTGAATCTTGCAGAGCTGGAGATCGTGAGTATTAGCTGTCCATGAGCTAGCAGCAGGAGCAACTTTATGACTCCCTATGGGCTTCTCCCTTGACTTTATGCCTCCACGTCCCCCCGATTGCGCGCGAGCTTCTCCTCCTGTCTATACGGTAATTATTCTACTGTGCGATATAGAGTCCCGTGGTTATGATGCAATCGTTAGCCTATTTTTTACAAAAACGGCTTCTACGGGGCCATAACGTAAGATACAAAGTAATGGAGCCTTTTATACATTGTCGTATTTCTTTATAAATAAATAATGGACAAATGGAGTCTTTGGACGCCTCAGATGTACAGTTATTCGCTGTCAAAGTGACGCCAAAATGAATGGGAGTCAATGGAATGCTAACAGCAGGTGATGGTCTGCTACAATGGCGGCCCCCAAGGGAAGCTTTGGTCTCAGTTTCCGGCTGATGGATTACCCCCTTGTCTCTAGCGCCTCGCTTTTTCAAATGCGTGTTGCAACTACGGTAGCCGTTATGTACCAAGAAGCTATGACAACATGTCTTCCAATAGCACTTCATCGAGTTTAACTATACATGTTCTACTGTTATGCTGCCTATATAATGAATTACACAACCAACCAATGAAAAAAAAGCTTGTAATTTAGACCGTAACATTGGCTTACCTGTCGAGAAGAAAGCAGGCAACTTCAGCGTCCCTTTCAAAGTCTTTCTCCTTCATTAGCTCTTTCTACCTGGGAAAAGCTTTCCCGATATTTACCCTCGTTTTTTTTTTAATTCGCCGGTCACGTTTCCTTTTAAATATTTTTTTTTGCTTTTTTGGCGACAAAGATTCCTTCTGCTGTGGCTCGGCATAAGTATGATCCTGCATTATGAAGTACCGTGCAGTGCAGCCTTTCAAATTTGCCAGGGCAGTGACAAGCGCCTCTCACTGATCTCCTTGTCCGTTTTAGCTGGTTTCCGTCACGTGACGCTGGCTCTGAATGAAAACGCGTTGTGGAAACGCGCTGAGGTAGGCTAGTGCTTTTTGTCCCTCTCTGCTAATATAGTTTTTCAAGATGGCGGAACGACATGGAAGCCTCCATGGACTTACCCGTCCCATGTAAATAAAGATAAGAAATTCTTCGCTTACAAGGATAAGTCAGATCATTGGTAGAGGTAATTTTACACCAATGAGGACATATTTATGAATAAAGACATTGATTTTAGCTAATAAAATACACAGTGTACCTTTAAAGGATCATTTTTGCTCACACCCAAAAAGGGGCAAATTTGATTTTGGGGACACCATAGGGGACACCATAGATTTATACATCTTGTGAAAAGGGGCATAATATGTCACCTTTAAAACTTTATAAACTATAATCACTGGCTTCGGGCAAGTGCTGTGCGCGCGTTGGAGCTTAAAAAATTCTGGCACTATTCAATGCGTTACAAAGCTGGGAAGAACCAGGATATTATTTAGTATAACTCTGATTGTGTTCGGCTGAAAGAAGAAAGTCATATACACCTAGGATGGCTTAAAGTTAGGGTTGGCAATTTTGAGCGTCTAGCAATAGCAAGCCAGCTTTGAAAGCATGAGATCCCACCCTCCCTTCAGAGCGTCTTTAAAGCCACACCTCCTTTAAAACACATGAACGCACACAGCAGAGTTTGCAGAGCGTCACGAAACAAGAGACAGCATTAAATTTCCTCATGTCTCAAAGCACATGAACAAAAAAATATTACAATAATAATGAGCGTAAACAACTTACAGAGCTCTTATTTACCACCTGACTGCTGCAGATTCACGCCAGTGTTGATAGTGTTGACATAGAAATACATAAATCCGAGTCTGAGGACGTGAACAGCTCCGAGTAGAACGTCACGGGTTGCCATCTTGTAATAACAATTATGACATGTCGTGAACACGGATTAAGCTTGTTGTTTTGGTTTAGGAGGAACTGTAAGATGACTGCTGTTTGTTTACGGCGCCCGGTGACTGTCTACAACGTGCTGATGACGCGTGATGTCTGCGCGAACAGGATGTGCGGAGGTATGGAAATACATATGTTGATACTGACAGGTAGGACATTGTATCATTGCATTCGGACCGAATGACTTACACAGAAGATATATGTACATGTTTTAAAATTTAGACCACTTCTATTATTGATTGCTTTCAGGATGTGAAGAGAGTTTCAACCAATATAGAAAAATGTTTTATAAAACAAATTGCCTACCTTTAAGGGTGAGTAAATTATGGGATAATTTTCATTTTTGGGTGAACTATTCCTTTAATATATCAAAAGGAGCTAGGCCGGATTATCAGTGAATAAGGACTTTTAGTTTATTGAATGTTGGTCTGTTTCTCATAATATTACTTTAGAATAAAAAATCATATGAACCAATTTATGATACTTTAGTGCACATTTTAAAGCTTGAGGTTCCTGTTCATTGGAACTACATGGAAAAGAGCATAATTTACTCAGTCAAAATATTTTTATTTGTGATCTGAAGATGAATAAATGTCTAAAGGTGCAGTCAAATTTTCATAGGCAAAATCCATTTATTTCAATAGGAATCTACAGTATGCAATTGGGAATTTTGTGTAAGGGCAAAATATTTCCCCATGCAGATTTCGCAATGGGTTCAACGGATTCACCCTATTGACCAACTGAAAGCTGCTTTGTTTTAAAGTGACTTCTGTGTGTGGTGTGCTTCATACATCAATACACTATTGACAATAGACTGTGGACCTTTTTTGTAAAGAAAAATTCAATAAAATTTCACATAGGTGACCACACATTGGGTTTGGAACAACATGAGGGTGATTAAATAATGACAAATTTTTTTTTGGTTGGGGGTTGTACTATCCTTTTAAGTGGTATAGGTTTTATGGAATGAGTCAAATAAAATATGGTTAGTAAAAATACTCCACATCTCCATATATTATCACATTTCTCAAAAGGGGAATCGGCTTCATTTGCTTACTAAGCATTAAATGCTCACAGCAATGTTTTTAACTGCTGCTGACTAAACCTTGATATCAATATTGCGTGACACCAGGTGTCATTTTTGGAGAAGTTTCACTCACATAAGAAATGTTATTTTCATACTAAGTGAAGGTTCAGATATTACAGTAACACGTACATGTATTTGTGTTCCTGCCAAACCCTGAGGGAGCCATAATGTTCATCTCTGGCATCCCCATGACCTACCACACTCATAAAACCAAGCCCTGAAACAGCAGCACGTGAAATATTGAAAACCAGTTTCTCTCAATTACTCTTACTCATACCCACAAGCTATACCCTCCTCCAGAATCAGAATCAGTCTCTCTCTCTCTCTCTCTCTCTCTCTCTCTCTCTCTCTCTCTCTCTCTCTCTCTCTCTCTCAGAAAAGAACAGATAATCTCTTTCTTTGGTGTGGATCATTACCAGATAAGATGATTTTGGTGATCTTGTTGACCAGGAAGTGTAACTAAGGTGATGAAATGTACTGGGTAACAGCGGTCACAATGACTCCCTACTAAAATCTTGTCTCTTGTGATTCAACATAAACAGAAGGCACGTCTACACATTTTTAAACACACTGGATCTATGACTTTTTTTGTTCTGGATGACTAAGCAAGAGTCAGAATGACACATCTAGGATAATCTGGAATTTCCAAAAAAAGCAAACAGAAAGTACATGTCACTGATAGTCATAATTTACATATAGATACTATTAATAATAAACCCATGTGCAGTTTAACAATGAATCCGACTATTTAAATATACAGTACAAACTATAAAATATGGTCTGATCTACTTCTTTACCTATTGAAAATTCTCTGATGGAATGCACGATGGCCCTGTGACAATTGGTTCTCAAACCTGTCCTGGAGGACCCCCAACACTGCATGTTTTTTTTGTCTCCCTAATCAAACACACCTGATTCAACTCATCAGCTCATTAACCCATGTGATAATGAGCTGATGAGTTGAATCTGGTGTGTTTGATTAGGGATAGGGAGACAAAGAATATGTGCAGTGTTGGGGGTCCTCCAGGACAGGTTTGAGAACCACAAGTTCGGTATTTTACACTTAAAGCCCTGTTTTAAGATCGTTTCTGATGAAATAGAACGGTTAAGATTGAAATTTGGACACATGCTGCTGGCCAGAGAATCTCGAGGCCCACAGAGAAGGAAATGAATAGTTGAATAAAGTCGTTATTTTTGTTTGTTTTTTTGCACACAAAAAGTATTCTCGTCGCTTGATAAACTTAAGGTTGAGCCACTGTAGTCACTCGGACTATTTTAACGATGTCTTTCATAACTTTTGGGCCGGCCAGTTTCGATCCCTTAAGAAGCCAATGGAGGAGTGATCCAGCTCTCAGATTTAATCAAAAATATTCCGAAGATGAACGAAAGTCTTACGGGGTTGGAACAACATGAGGGTGCGTAATTACTGAGAAAATTTTCATTTTTGGGTGAACTAACCCTTTAAGCTTAATCAATTCTTAGACTACATCATACCACAAAATGAGACCTCATGTAAGGGTTAAAGACTCACGTGTCACCATCTTCATCCTGACATGTTGCCGCAGCAATATCTGCCAGCAGACGATCTGTGCTTTCCAGCGGCAGAGGAGGCGAAAGAGTGGGAACCGGAATAGCAATGGATTTCTGTTGGCTGTAATGCCGAGACCACTGGAAAAATGGGTAGCCTGCTATAACTACAGACAAGAAAAAATATTATATTAACCAAAACAGCATGCATATCAAACCAACACTAATGAAAAAGAGTTAATTGAAGAGTTGGCCTGGTCATAATGAAAATGAACCTTTTTACCAGGTCCTTACATTTTAGTAAAAAGAGATGTTTGCAAATAAGTTGCTAAAGCTTGGGCTCAATTTTGGAAAGTTCCAGTGAGGATACATTTGGTTTAGATTATCTTTATGACAAAATAAGATTGTTCTGCATAGCACACTATCAAGAACAAGAAATAGACCAGTAACAGTAATGTATTCATGCCAATGTGTGACGCTTTTGAGCATAATTATGTAGATTATTATTTGTAGGCCTATGTTAGATTATCTGTATAATGGAGACCGAGGAATGTTGTAACACAAGGTAGAATGTAACACTCTCAGTTAAACTAATGAGAAATTAGCTAAAGTTATCATATGGCCACCATCTAGATTTTAATCTGAGCTGTGAAGTTAGGCTATACAACATCACACACAGCACACAAGCTTTTTATCAACTTAAAAAAAAAAGAACAAAACTTTAGGAGGGTCTGTAACAGGTCATTTTATTGACATAAATTCAGCACATAGATACAATAAATTATGTTTACTTTGATAAATAATAGGCCTATGTGGATATTATGTTAGGACTTTGGTAACATAGCCTACTGAAAGAAAAAAAATATTATATATTATAATTACACTCCTCGGTTTTACCTGCATATTTTAACCCACTGACACGTTTTGAAAACAGCTCAACCAAACATCCTCCTGATTAGCTCAATGGTTTCGCGTTGACTGTGGTTCGAGTCTGGACTGACCATGACTGCGCAATCATATTGCCAGCGCACGCGTTCCACCCGAACGGACACATACTTTCAAAATGACACAAACCAATGACACACACCAAGTATGAACAAGTGCAATTGCACAAAGTCATCTAAGTTTTGCGCTTAAAATATAATACGAGAGATCAGTCAAAATAAACATATTGTAAACTTACGACATGGTGTTACGAACTGGTCAGTGCTCGGGAGACCACGAAATGAGTTGAATCTCAGCGGTGCATCTGTGTGTATTTGACCCACGGCAGAGTCCTTCAACTCTTTTGCACCCGGGCTATGTGGAATATTTCTTGGACCACTGGTATCATGATCCACATCCGGAGGGAAAGGACGTTTCTTTATCGGACGCGTGGAAAATGAGGAATCTGTCGGTTTCCCTGCAGCGTCCGTTTGATTGTTGCACTTAGGGGTTATAGGTCGGGTTTGTGTGGGACCCTCACGCGTCCTGCTTGCCCTGACATCCCCATCATCTGTTTGAGTCGTCTGCGAAACTGATCCATCACAACTGTCCCGTGATTCAGGGGGAAGTATCCCGTGTCCATTGCTGAACTTGTGCTTCGGTTTCACCTGTCTTTCTGGAGTATGTTTAGGGCGACCTTGGTCTCCCGGTTGCGCGCAGCTCCCACGCTCTCTGGTTTTGTTGGTAAGATCCAGTGGCACAGATCGCACAGTGTGATTACTGCCGCTCATTGTCATTGTCCTCGTCCTCAGGTAGGCGATATATGGGTCCTAGACGAATCCTTTTATTAACATTATGTCAATATGACTAACTTGACTCGGTCCCAAGATGACTATCACCTCTTGCTGCCCAGATTAAACAACATACTTACATGCTTTGCTCAATATGTTTTAGCACAGCTCACTGAAGCATTTAAATTCATAGCCTTCGCTTATGCACAAAGTTTTCTATTAAATGGTCAGTTTAAAAAAAAAAATAGAACTGAATAAACATCCCAATTAATTTCACATGCAATTAGAAGAATGCCATTTTAGGGCAATGACAATTTGACATGTGCATTATTATTATTAGGCTATTGATCACGCGCTGCAGTCATGATGATAACCTCTGCGCTGTGCTGCTCGCTCGCTCTATGATCTGAACTGAATTCACAGAGTCTCCCTCTCTCATTCACTCAAATTAGGAAGTAGGTGGGTGAGTGAACTGGGGTTTTCCCTTTCAGCTGTAACTGAATCGTAGGCTATGTATAACTACCCATTTGCGAAACACGATTAAACGCTCTGTCGAAGGTCTGTGCAGTTCAGATAAAATAAAATAAACTAGTAGCATATTTATTAGTAGACTACTTTGTACTTAGCATTATTATGCACATTATTAACACTTTTACGCGTCGTATGAAGTGAAAGCTTTCATGGAATCGGTTTCGGTTTAATTGTTAGACGACAGTGTTTGGCTTATTTTGACGTAGCCTATTGTCTGGCTATTGAATCTTTTTTCATCAGTGCAGCTGAATGTGTCGCGAGCTGTTGGATAACAGGTGTGCAGTTTTGCTTTCCTTTTAGCCGTAACTATACTCTTTCTCTTTTTTTATTGCTTACCCTGGTGCCTGGTAGGAAGCGGGCTGGATCTCCGGCGGGGATCTCCCTCACAGCTGTTGTCGGGAAACCTGCCAGGCTCGACCTCTTGTCTTCCTGTTGCCTTTTTCAGCACATTCACATTGGGTTAGCGGATCATTAGTAACTGATTGATAAGAACTGATAAGATATGGTCATTTTCTTACATTAGAGTTTTGATTTATGACTCATATCGATGATAACAGCAAATTACTGTCTTTCACATGCTATCTCAGCATCTTATCAGCACCCCCATTTTGATCAGATCCCTTCAAGATGCATAGCCTAGCTGTAGCTAGTAGTAATTTTTGGTTCCAAGAACCAAACCAATTTTTGGTTACAAAATAGAACCTAAAGAGAACATTAGAACGATAGGAATTGGTTCTTTTAGAGAGAGAGAGAAAAATAACTGTGATAATGTTAGGACAATGTTCGGTTTCACTTTATTTTGATGGTCCCTTTAACACATTCTGTTGGCTATAAGTAATGTTGCACCTACATGTCTACTAACTCTCATTAGAGTGTTAGTAGAGTATTGGTTGACTCAGTGGCGTAGGTTTGATTTTGAAATTGGTGGGGACGGGGACAACAATATATAAATATATTTTAAGTTTTGATCGAAATTATTGCTAGGGATATATCAGTGTCATTGGATATTGAAGGGACACGTCCCTAGCGTCCCTACTAAATTCTACGCCCCTGACTGGTAGGGTTAGGGTCAGAATAAGTTGACGTACTTGCAAAGTCACTTATAGGTCAGTAGAATGTCTGTTGGAGGACCAACACAATAAAGAGTTAGCAGATATTAAGCAGACATTGAGTTTACTAATACTCTAATGAGAGTTAGTTGAAAAGTAGTTGTAAAGTTATAGTCAACAGAATGTTAAAAAGGGACCATCCAAATAAAGTGTTACCCAATATTCTGTGTTAGCTAGGAATTTGATATCATTAGCATCAGCCTTCTGATCCTGCTCTATGTAGAATCAAGAGACCTTACAAAAACACACTTGTATCAGATTATGCGACAAAAAAAATCTGCGTCATAATCATACCCATCTCTTTCCACCTACACCCCTTAGTTCCTCCTCACACCAGGGGTTTGGAGTTACCTGGGTCAGTTTGGGACTTTCCTTCACTGTGGGGTTGAGCGGGTATGGAACTGCAAACGGAAAAAAATATAGGTGTTTAAAGTCCCCAAAACACCAAGAAGAGTCCACGGTGGGTCTGAACTTGTCAGTTAGTGACAATACCGCCCAAATGCTGAATCGCAGCCAGTTTAGTTCCCATGGGCCAACTGAAGATCTAAAGCAAATTAACCTTTTCATTTGAACACACAATTCAATTTAATGATATGTTTTTGTTAGGGGTTTTCTTTTCAATCACAGAGGGACATGAGGACTACAAAGTGCTTCAGAGAGAGAGAAAAAGACAATAAGCAATACTGGTGTGTTCAAACTTGTTCAAATTTCGTTTAGGACAATCATATGTATTGAACATCCTGTTCTCAGGTTGTGTTTTCTTAGAATTGGCTGCATGGTACACATTTGCAGGAAAAGTGATAAGTGCTAACATATAGGCATGAACAGGCCCCAAAAGGAGTGTGCTTGAAATGACTATAGTGTTTGTGAGGCTACGGTAAGAAAATAACCTTAAATAATCAGATCTCATAGACAGTAGGCCTACTATAGACATTTTTTAAGATGGGTTTACTAACATTATAGTGTTTTCCAGGACATGCTCCATTTGCATGCACCATAGCATACATTACAACCATATTAGTCTTGAGAAGGGGAAAACAATTATATTTGCATTTAAAGGGATCACCCAAAAATGAAAATTCTTTTGTCATTTACTCCCCCTAAAGTTGTTCCAAACCTGTGTAAATGTCTTTATTTTGCTGAACACGAAGGAAGATATTTTGGAGAATGTTTGTAACCAAGCAGATCTCGGGCCCCATTGACTAGTATTGTTTCCCCCTGGTAGTCAATGGGGCCCAAGGTCTGTTTGGTTACCAACATCCTTCAAAATATATTTCTTTGTGTTCAGCAGAAAAAAGAAATTTATCCAGGTTTGGAACAACTTGAGGGGGAGTAAATGATGGGAGAATGTTCATTTTTGAGTGAACTATCCCTTTATTCAGGATTATGCAGTCTATAGTAAATCAATTTGTACATGCACATATTAATTATGTATCATAGAGGGACCAAAATCGTCAAAGCAACCTAAGAGTTCATTTAGAACACTAAAAGCGTCTTGCACATTTTTCAAAAGCTGTCGGACTCAAGTCAAGTCCTCTGGTTAATGATGAAATGCTGTGAAGCAGTGCCCTCTGCTGGTGTCTCTTAGCAACACAAATAAGCGGCTACACATATCGTTTCATATAAAGAATTTGCTTCGGAGATATGGATTATGCAACGTAACCGAAAAAAAAAAAATCACAAAAAAATCCTTATGAAAAAGAATTGGTTGGCCGAATATAATATAAAAAAAATTAAAAAGAAATTTAAATTCGGAGTAATGATTAGCAATTTAATAGGCCATGGATTATTCATTAGCTATTTAATAGGCCATGAAATAAGAAAGAGTTACCCGAATATAAAAATAAATTACTAAAAACTACAAAGGTAAAAGTTACACTTGGCATTGTCATAGAAGCTTCAAGCTTGTTATAATTTTTTTGTCCATTAGAGGGCCACAAAGAGCCAAATGTTTAAATCAAGTTAAATCTCGAGAAAATGTGTGCTAATACTAGCTAGCTGTCCATATGAGATTAATATCAAAGTCTTTAAATCGTTTTTTTTTTTATCTGTGTGGATGTGTTTTAGTCTTTGATTAGTGTTTTTTTTTTTTTTTTTTTACTTTAAGTAGTTTTTTTTTGTTATTCTAAAGGCATTGGCTATATTAAAAATATATTTAACAGCACAACATGAAGAGTCATATCAATATGGTAGGCTATTAGTTTTAATGTTAATTAATTTATGTAATAATAATGCAAATTTAAGGCCAGCCCTACAACAGCACAGAAACTCTATATCTCCCTCTTTCTATAGTCTTTTGTTATGTGTTCAGGAAGTTGTACACACATGGTCTGTCCAATACGTCACAAATTAATTCAAACAGCGTCCCAACTGCACACAGCCCATGCTGCACAGCTCACTCACAGACACAAAAGAAAACAAACCTGTTTGTCTGCCTCTTAGCTACCCGGAAACTGATCACAGAGACAGAGAGAGAGAGAGAGAGAGAGAGAGAGAGAGAGAGAGGGGGAGAGAAAGAGAGGTGAATATCTGCAGTTGAGTTCCTGGCCTAAACCAACGTGAGTGTAAGTGCCTCTTCAAAATTTTGGACACAGAGATACATTCAGACAGAGTGAGAGACACCGTATGGATGAGAGAGATAACGACTGGCAGTATGGGTGGAGTGACGCTGCAGGAGGCCGGTAGATCTGAGAGCAAAAAAATGAGTATCTGAAGAATTCATGTCTTTGCAACATCTTTGTTACGGAGACCTGGCAAAAGGACACATGAACTTTGGAGCGGTTTTTTTCTATGGAGCAAAAGCACATTTTTTAAAGACGTATAGACACCAACCTGTATACTTTTTGTAAGGTGTTGCAGGTGTGTTGTTTGAATAAGTGAGCTCTTCTTGTTCTGCTCGTAAAAAATGTATCTTATGAAAGGCATCTGCCCTCACAGTGGCAATGGTGCCAAACATCTCTCATCACTTCTTCGCACTTGACCGGACCTGTGGACCTTGATATGGACAATTCAAGATTTTTAAACTGGATTACTGAACAAAGTTTTGCTGTGATGATAGTTGATTTAGAAATCATCACAATTACAGCCGCTTTTAAACTGCTGTTTCATCATTTTATCATAATCAGTGATAACAGGACAAAGAGTTACCGGGCAAGTGGTTTTCAGATAATTCTCTTTACCTAAAAATAGATATCTTTTCTGAGAATAATGGTGTAACCGTTCGATAAGTCATAGCCTCAGAGGTTTTCATCTTTTCATGCTAGCTCTGCTAAAAACGATGCTCTCCATAGACTCAACTAATCATCAATTGTTGTATCATGCATACAAAAGGACAACTGAATCAAATACACTGTAATTGTGTGAAGGAAGAGTGGACTCAACACTATCTCAGACAACTGTTGATTCAGACACATGTCTGAACAGTAACATAGGCTGACTAACACTCCACGTGTGGCTCATTGGATACATCTCATCTATGATGGCAACAGCTAGGCGTTCGGGACCTGCAGGCCGAAGTCAAATTCTTGACGCTCCTCAATCCATGTCTCAGTCCCCCACCAGTGCAGACCGCAAACTTCTTGATAAAGTTTTCAAGAGACTGGAGAAACTGCATAAACTGAGCACAGACCCCAGGCTGGGTCTAAAAAACAGTCCGCCATTCCTTCCCGAGCTGGTGTCGGAGACCGCCACCCTCCTGACAGAAGTATGGGCTCCTTACAGGGGGTCAATGATGGCCGTGCCCCGAGGGGACGAGGGTGAATATCTGAGGATCCATATTCGCCACATGCTGGACAAGACAGATAGAGCTGTGCTGCTGTTTAAAGATGGCAAGGAGAAGATGTTTGAAGAAACATCAAGCTACAGGTAAGACAAAGCCAAGCAATGTGGAGGTCAGTTTTTAGTCTTTGCTCACTGGTCACAATATGTGTGTTGTTCAGTTGTCCACATTCAAACATCTCAAAGACCATCAAAGTCGGCAGAATGATGTTAAAGGGGTCCTATTATGTTTTTCTACTTTTCCAACTTTAGTTAGGCTGCAGATCTTTTGTATGCTCAAACAGCAACATTACAATGTTACAAAGCTCAAAGTCCACTCCAAAGGGAGATTCCCTTTTCAAGAACTACAACAAACTAAATTTGGACTACAATTCGATTGTTCTGGGCTTCGTGAAGTCACAATGTTAACGTTACTCATTTAAATAACCCCGCCCACAGAATACCCCAGAAGGGGAAGAGGCCTGGTTGAGCGCATAGACTTGAGCGGCATTAGAGAAGACGGTGTTGTCGCAATGTCAAGAGACACTGTTTTTTGCACAACATTTCCAAAACTCATTTGTTTGACCTTCCTAAGGCTGATGAACTTAAGAGTATTTAAATTTTATTTTAAACACTGTCCTGAATGTTAAAACCCAACTGTTTAATTGTGCGCTGCACATTTTACGGAGAACAGCTGGTTTTTGTTTGTAAGCTCACGCTTTTGTAAGACGGTTCAGCTCTCCTTAGGAAAATGAAACATGGTTTTGTGATCGATTACTGTTTCTATTATCTTAGTTTTCCGACAAATATCACGATTAAATGGTGGATAACATCGTGATTCGTATCTATAATGTATAATAAAATTACAAAAAACATACCACTCAGGCAAAGTCTGTGCATGAAATGCGTTCTGGACGATCCTCTTGTTCGTTAACATTTTCAGGGTCTGAATCACTTGAATTGGTTTGAAATTGACGACGCCATCGTTAATATTTATTTGAGTAGAGCTCGCCGTTATGAAGGGGCGTGACGAGCATGCGTTAAGCTCTGCCAATCACAACACACTGGGCGAGCTAACCAATCACAGCACATTTCGTAAGGAGGGGCTTAATCGAAATCAGCATGTTCTTCGAGCTAGACTGGGGAGAGAGGTGCTGTAATAATGTAGAATATGTGGAAAATAATGCGTTTTTTTAACAGTATGATAACATATTCTAGTACACCCCAAAAACAAAATCAAGACTTCATAAAATGGCATAACAGGACCCCTTTAAAAGTAAAAAATAAAAAACAGACAGAAAGTAGGCTATAGTAGCCTAAAGCAGATTATTCCTGTTTGCTTTTGATAGTTTTTGTTATAGTTTTATATAGTTTGCAATAAACAAATAAAGCATACAATTCGGGAAATTCTTCTCTGATTTAACCTCTCACATCTCATTTCTACACTGCGAAGAAGAGGCAGAAACACAAAAAGTATATCAAACTCATTCAAACGAATCAATGTGTGTTTAAATCAGTCATCAAATAAAATGAACACATTATTAATGTGAAATGTCAGCATACTACAGAAGTAGCCTACAATGCTTGGCAAAAATGTACGCAAAAGAATGTAAATATGAATGCGTACATGTCCATACACGTATAAAGAGAGGGTCATGTCCTTCAGTTTTGCGAGGGTTGAAACTAATTTCCTACTATACCTTACCAACAACCTGACTGCAACAAAATGGCTTATTTTCAATCTTAAGCAACCAAAGATTGCAGTCCCTATTTAGTCTACTCTTGACCAAGTTACTGGTCTGCTGTGACTACTAATGACCAGTGTGTATAGTGCAGCATTATCATGTAAATTGAGGAAACTTCCCTCTAGCAATGGAAGCCAGCAGTTTAATGTTGTTTCGGCACTACAGTGGTCATTCTGTTTACTTCCTGACTTTTTTCTTCCTTCTTTTTTTAATTTATGCATGGCAAAAAGAGAGAGTGAAATATAATCTTCTAATTATATTTGACTTCCAATAGTCAAGTCAAGTCAAATATATTTATATAGCACTTTTCACAATACAGATTGTATCAAAGCTGCTTCACAGTATCAATCAAAACAACTTAACAGTGTTTGTTTATTATTGGAAAAAGACATCCAAGTTTGGTAGAGCTGATCAGTGGTATGATGGGTCATTTAATTTGAATATCCCCAACTGAGCAAGCCAAAGGCAACAGTGGCAAGGAACCGAAAAACTCCATCAAGTGACCCGATGGTGTCCTAAAACTCCATCGGATGACCCAATGGAGAAAAAAAAACCTTGGGAGAACCCAGGCTCAGTCGGGGCCAGTTCTCCTCTGGCGTTTATGAAGAAGAGGCCGAATTTACAGTAACTGTAAGAGAAAATTTATATGAATGCCTGGCTAAATAGATGCGTCTTTAGTCTAGTTTTAAACTGGGAGTTACTTTATCTTAAAGTAACAGTAACTAGCTAAATGACTTGTTCGCAAGGTCTGCAAATAGTTTTCTTTTTCTCTTCTGTGTGAAGTGAAATAATGAGACGAGACCTATAACCGTAAACCCTAATGCTTGAAGAAATTAATTGGTTTGAGTAAGGTAAAGTTAAATTTAAAAAAAAATCCATCAAATGAACTTTTATGAGTATTTAGAACTTTCTTTTGACTTCACAAAACTGACACATTAAGTACTCTGAATTGTTTAATTGTTTTGAGTTTCATGAACTTGTTTCTTTTAATTTTAAATTTAACTGAAACTGGGCATGGATTTCTATTTCCCAGCATGTTTGACCATGACACTCGAAAACGAGAGTAAATGCTAAAATATTTTTTGTGTGTGTGTGCAAGATTAATGTTAAGTGGGAGATTTAGTAGTGTTTAATGTGTTGCTATGCTCATTTAGAAAACTTTTTTATGTGTTTTTTTTTGGGGGGGGGGGGGGGGGGGCATTATTACATGGTGATGAGTGCACGAGCTTGGTTTGAGAACAATGTCTTGTAAGTTATGAATTAGCTTACACAAATATTTCAAGTTAATAGCAGTTACAAATAAAAATCTGCCAGTTCTGCTTAGGGCCTACTTAAATTTCTTAACTTAAACATTTTTATGTAACTGATTACCACAATTGTTTTTGAGTTTTGCCAATTTATTCGGGTTTCCAGTGCAACAGAACACCTCTTGCTTGACCTACAAATTAATAAATGTTTCACACAACATGTCACAACTACTAGAAATTTAACGTAGAAAAACACAATCTTAAAGGAAACTGTACCACTGTGCCATGCAGCAGAACCTGATTTCAACAAGTGCAGCATGTTCAACAATCAGATTTGAAACAAGTTTACAGTTTATGTCAAGTTTAGCCTTACAACCAGGGTTAGGTGCTTCTACTTCAGTGTTATTCGCCTATCATTTCCCTCTGATTTTAGGGATAACTTATGGTTAGGGTAAGGTTTGGAAATACGTTGAAGCAGGAACGCGTCTAACTCGGCAAAAGCAGGATGAGTGTGTGTGCATCATGAATCCTTTAAATACACACACACACACACACACACACACACACACACACACACACACACACACACACACACACACACACACACACACACACACACACACACATTGATTACAGAACTGTTTACAGTAACATGTTTCATAAATAGATACAGTAGTTCACACCCCATTTCTCAAAGTTTAAATGTTTCAGTGAAGCATGCTAATTCATTTGACTAAAGGAAACGGAATCACCACACAAACCTATTACAGTACATGTGAGTAAATTTAGCTAATTTCAGTTTGTGACTGCTTGACAATGCTGAAACCATGCCAACATGGTTAGTGGACAGGACACTGACAGTATATGTGGTGGTGGAAACTTTAAGAACATGACTGAAGGAAAGTTCAAGCCTAAGAAGTGCACTGAGTGCTTTGTGGCTAAGCTAGAGATAAAAGTAGAAAGTAAGCGGTCATATTGTCTGAGTAGAAAAATTTGTTGCATAAGCCATGGTTGGTCAGTTTAAGACCCAGGCCAGAGCGTTTATCTATATGCATTTCAACACACAAAGCCACATTATCCACAGTCAAACAGAAATAGCCTCAATGAATGTCAATTACAAGAAGATTTATTATTTAAAGATTCTGTCTAATCATTATTATACTACAATGAAAAGTATAAAAACGTTATAAATATAATAAATTAGTCTTATAAACTATAGACGTTCTTCAAACATTACACAGCATTTTTTAATAGATTTTTTGGACAAAAAATTATAACAGATGAAGGGTGCCGATCTGTTCTGTGCTGTGTAGAGGATGCTGATGTTACCATGACAACCTCTTTGATCAATTAGTAATGGAAAATTCTGTCACCAGTCTCACCACACACACTCAGGACAGGATGTATCAAAGTACTACTTCCTGTTTATAGTTCTTAGAGTGTGTTGTGCTGATGACAGTTTTTTTTTTTTGGGTGTTTGTGCATGCAGGTATATGTTGTGTATAAACTTGTTGACATGAATATATGACATATCAACCAACAATCATCATATCTGCAAAAATTAGTAAATAAGCACCACAGCTCTCCTGTGCAATTAGTATTTCTGTCAACCTTATATACAGAAAAATGTGTTTTACCATGTGCAACACACTAAATATTTGTGTTCATATTTATTTATTGGTAACTCTTTATATTAACTTTCATTAATAAATTATTAACAAACATTATATAATGCTTAACAGATCATTAGTTAATATATATTCACATGCGATAACATGCTTGTTGTTAATGTTTAAATAAACTTATTAAAGATTACGTGATTAACATATCGTTATTTAATGTAAATAAAATCTAATCTCATTAAACTTCTATTCATATATTACCTAATGCACATTTTTACAAATGTTGTGATTTTTTAAAAATTAATAAACAAATTCATTTAATTAGTCATTTTAAGCACTTCACACACTATTCATGTTAACATAATATTCATTAACTTATAACCATAGTCTCTAAAGGTCATACATTGGGTCTTTTGTTGTGGTGTGTATTTTTATTTAACAAATCATTTATTAATTATTTGTTCATGTTTTTTCAGTACCCGATCTAAAGGTGAAACTATAATTGTAAATGTTTATAAATGTTTATATAAATGTTTGTATAATGCATTTAGTACCTAGATGGGCATTGGATTTTTAGCTACTGTAACAACGTTTATGTAAAGCATTAATAGAACTGCCACAAGTGGTCATTTTGACCGCTAGATTCCAAACTCTATATCTTTAATGATAAATACCCAATTGAGAGATTAATACATTTATTGTATTAGGATATCTTTTAAAAACAAAACAACACCAAACTGTACATTTAAACAAGTTTAATTATACATTTATAAATAATAATATCATTAGCCTAAGCCTATACCGTAATTATCGCATATATTTACAACAGATAGGCTATATTTCAACCAACCATATCCATTCAACATAACTCAGAACAAGATAATAACAACTAAAAGTATCTTATTTAGATATTCTGTTGACAGTGAGAGAGACAAAGGTCAACCGCGGGAAATGTAACAAAAGAATACCGCGAAATTCAGTGCGGTCAATATGACCGTCTATGGCCGAAATAGGTAAATATGTTCATTTGTTTTTTTTGCCTTATGTGTAATTTATTTGAAAAACATTTTAAATGAAAATACAGACACTTTTAGGAAAAGTCAGGTACCAGCAGGATTTTATTTATTTTTTTCAACAAAGTTATTGCAGATAAAAAAAAATCAAAACGGTCAAAATGACCATCATGCCCGTTCTAGTGTTAAGTTTAGCTAAATGCTTGCTAAAGACATAACACCACATTTTAGTTTGTAATTTGGGTGCAAAACATGTTTTTATTGCCTCAACACTTAGTATACTATATCCTTAAACAGGATATTCCTTGAATCATTCATCAACAGGAGAAAACATATGTTTTTTTCTCAAGAAAAAACTTGTTCATCAAAACAATGTAATTGTCACATTGTCAGTTCTGTCTTTCTCCGCCTGTGTTTCCATGGTTACTCATTTAATTTGAGTTTCAGTTCAGGTGTGTCTCATTAATTAGTCTCATTAGTTCCTCTGTTTGCTTTCTTGTGCTTCTTTCAGTTCTTTGTCAGTTCTACGTTGCATTTAGTTGGTTGTTCTGTTCCTGTTTCCGAGATTCTATTTTGTGAAGTTTTGAGTTTGTTTTTGAATAAAGGCGCTGCTGCATTTAAATCCTGTTTCATCTCTTCTGCAACCACCTTGTAACAGTAGGCCTAATATAAACCGTGTTCCCTTTTAGTAATCCTTTAGTAATGCTGACCCCTTAACAAAGACTTTAACATACCACCAAACCTGACCCTAACCTTATACCGTATCCTACCTCAATAACAGCTAAAGTGTTTTGCACTTTGATCATGAACACAAAGTACATTGTACCTGACGATCTTTTTTTTTGTCGTAAGTACATAGTAGTTAAAGGGATACTCCACTTTTTTGGAAATAGGCTCATTTTACAACTCCCCCAGAGATAAACTGTTGAGTTTTAACCGTTTTTGAATCCATTCAGCCGATCTCCGGTTCTGGCGGTACCAGCAGCAGGCGTAATGATATGACGCAGCGCCTGAAAATAGTTCCGTTGTGTTGACGGAAGGACGGTGGCCTATTTTTAGGCGCTGCGTCATATCATTACGCCTGCTGCACTCATGGTAAGGCAGTAAAGTTTCTTGATTATTACGCAGGAATGAGAGTATAGTTCCTAGCCACATCAGCCTAGAAAATCGCAACTTTACATTTTCCGTCGGTCTTAGTGCACGATGTAACTATACAGAAGAGTCAAGTTTTAAATAGGAAAAATACCGAAACTCTTTGGTCATTTTTTTATATATAGAAATGCTAATGGTCTTGTCCACTTCAATGATGTATGCTAAGCTATGCTAAAAGTGGTACCGCCAGAACCGGAGATCGGCTGAATGGATTCAAAAACGGTAAAAACTCAACAGTTTAACTCTGGGGGAGTTGTAAAATGAGCCTATTTCCAAAAAAAGTGGAGTATCCCTTTAAAGACACCTAATATAAACTGGGACCAGTCATTCTTATATTGTTAAATTTACTGTTGAAAATACCAAAAGCCTTTTTGCGTTTGTACATTTGTGAATGTGAAAAAGAGCACACTAGGTAAGCTAAGAAGTTTAATGACACTTATAGATTTTCAAGAAGTGCATGATCTAATTAATTGAAAGTTTATTGACATTTGTAAGCATTTACATTAAATAATGATCTGATAATCAATCAACATTTATTAATGAAAGTTATTATAAAGGTTTACCTATTTTTTTAATCTTATGTTTTAATTTGCTTTATCTTTCAGGAGAAATCTTACTAAGTTGTCACTTCTGTTCAGCCACATGTTGAATGAACTACGAAATATGTTTCCTGGGGGCCGATTTCAGGGTGATACTTATAGGGTTACAAAAACAGAGGCCAAAGATTTCTGGAGGAAGGCTTTTGGACACAAGTATGACAAAAATAATTGATTGAATGTGTATTAAAGACTTTTAAACCATATGCATCCATTTTTGGACAACTCTCTCTCTCTCTCTCTCTCTCTCTCTCTCTCTCTCTCTCTCTCTCTCTCTCTCTCTCTCTCTCTCTCTCTCTCTCTCTCTCTCTCTCTCTCTCTCTCTCTCTCTCTCTCTCTCTCTCTCTCTCTCTCTCTCTCTCTCTCTCAGATGTATAGTGCAGTGGAACATTTTTAAACAGCAGCTGAGGAGGGTTCATTACTTCGAAGAGGGAATGGAGTCCATGGCTTTGAAGTCCACAGTTGATCTCACTTGTAACGATCACATATCCATCTTTGAGTTTGATATTTTCACCAGGCTTTTTCAGGTATCCTGAGCTTGAGATCTTCTAAGGAGATCTTAAAAATAACAGGCACATTCCATGAATAGTTTGTTGTGAGACTTATTAGATATGTTTGATAAACTAAATCATAAAAAATAAATCTGGTATGAAAAGTAGATAATTTTAACCACATCAAATGGCCTGTTTGGCCATTTGGCTGTGATTTTGATCGTCTTGAGTTTAACAATTAAAATTATTCAAAAGTCTTGTCATTTACATAAAATATTATATTGATATTAGTTTTATTATAGTAAAACAATATTAACTAATTTTAATGACCAAAAACAATATTTATATCTTTGTTACACATTTAAATTATTTACAAATTCCTTAAAATAACATTATTTGGACCCTTTCTACACCATTTTATTACACAAATTGATTTGTGAAGCTCCAATTTTATCTATTTCATTTTGATATATTTTATGTTTAATCCAAAATGGAAAAACCCCATAGAAATTGAATAGAAAACAAAAGAGTTTATAAAAATATATTTATAATAAAACGTTTGTTTGTATTTTGGTCCTTTGTATTGTAATCACTTCAAAACAAAAAGCTCTTTAATCTTGAATTCTCCCTTTAGCCCTGGTCAACTCTGTTAAGGAACTGGAATCATTTAGCAGTAACTCATCCTGGATACATGGCGTTTCTCACCTACGACCAGGTCAGGGTCCGACTGGAGCACTACAGACATCGTCCTGGCAGGTGAGACATGCAGCAGACAACATCAGGGTTAAAAATAATGAAGTATTTATTGTAGGATGCTTATATAGGTTTAACGTTAGACTTACTATGGTTTAGATCTAATCTCTTACTGGCTCTCTCTGTGCATCCACAGCTACATCTTTCGTCTCAGTTGCACACAAATGGGTCAGTGGGCCGTTGGTCATGTGACCAGTGATGGCAGCATTGTGCAAACCATTCCCCAGAATACACCTCTCTACCAAGCACTCATACAAGGTTTCAGGGAGGGCTGGTGTGTATTATTTTAGGAAAACAATTACACACTGAAATTAAAGCTGTCACCATAATGCTAATATAACCTGAAATACTTCCATCTGCAGCTACTTATACCCTGATGGGCGCGACGTGAACCCTGACCTCACCAGCCTGTGCAGTCCGGCTCACAAGGGTCGAGTCAAAGTCACAGAGGTAACTGAGAGTTAATGAATGAGAGTTTCAAATTTATTTCTGATTTGCTCGTTTCTTTTATCTCTTGAATGCAAGTCCATTTTGTCTCTAATGCAAGATGGACTTTTTTTCCTTCTCCTTCATTTGTTCACTTTCTCTCTTCAGGAGCAGTATGAATTATACTGTGAGATTGGCAGCACATTTCAGCTCTGTAAAATCTGCACAGAACGAGACAAGGACACTCGCATTCAGCCATGCGGGCATCTGCTGTGTCAGCCCTGCTTGACTGGCTGGCAGGTAAATTATATTCTTATTGTGCTCAAACCTTTACATCTCCCATTTACACTTCTTGGAGTCACACTCATGAGCAATTATGGTGAGGTGACACCCAAAAACCCACAATCAAAACAGCTATACATGATAACATGGTTGTGGTTCGTCTTGTTGGTGTAAATATATAAACATTAAAAATAGAACTCCTTGGAGTATAATTATTTTGATATCAATAGACCATTAACATAAACTGATAATTAAATACTTGCAAAAAGCAAAGTCATTCAGAAAGCAGTACTGCATGAATTATAGTGTTTGCCACAGCGTCATGCAGCTGACTTTTTGGCTCAAGCTTCCTGCCTGTGTTTGATCAAGCATGTGTGCGTGTGTGACTGAATTTCCACTTCTCTCAAGTTCAGTCACACATCATTGCATGGTGAGATAACATTTACCTTAGAGAATGAGAGGATGTGATGCATTTCTGCAGCTCTAGAATTAATGTAACACATTCAAAGAGTAGTGCAACTCATTCTCGTAAGACATAAGCTTTCTTGTGGTATGATGTTTTTAGGAACTAAGAACTAGAGTCCATTGTTTTGGTATCTTGTGCATTAGATAAATAGCTGAAATTGAGTTTCCCTCTAATATGCAGAAGTCAGATGGACACACGTGCCCCTACTGCCGCTGTGATATCAGAGGCACGGAGTCCATCCTCATTGAGCCCTACCTGCCAGTGAGAGACGGGAGGCCAGAGGAGAATGAGGAAGACGATGAAGATGAAGATGAGGATCATGAGGATGTGGAGCTGGTAATGAAAAAACTGGCTTGTATGAAAAAGGTGAGAGTGCATAATTGTGGCATCAGAAAACTTGTATGAATGTACAACAGAATGTATCAAGTTGCTTTGCTAAGAAAATGCCTCCTTAGACAATAAATGTAAAAGTAAGTGTAGGTTTATATACTTTCCTGAGTCTGTGCATTTCTTTAATTTACTTCGACTTTAATGGTTGGTTAATCTCATTCCTCTCTCACTATTACAGATATCACAGGAGGAGTATCAAGTTCCCCGTGCCACTCAGTTACCTCCTCCCCTTCCTCCCAAAAGAAATTCACTTTCCCCGTGTCCCTCTCCCAAACCACCCTCCAGATCCTTTGGCACAGGCACACGGGTCAGCCAGTCTAGTTTGGTGGGTTGTCTGTCTGTCTGTGTCAACGTGTTGTTTTTAAACCACTTTGTGGTTGGTATCCTAATTACGAAATGAATATGTTACTTTTGTTAAGTGCATGGTCCTCGGTAGGTAGTAAGTGAATTCAAACTTACTGTTATCATGAAAATCAGTTATGTTTTCTCCCCAGAAAGTCAAACACAGTTCCTGGTCAGAAAACATGCTAAGACAAACTTCCTCAGATAGGTAAGAAAATATCTGAATAAGCATTATTTGACTGCATATAGGTTGCATGGGTACATAACCCCCCCCCCCCCCCCCCCAAATAATAATAATAATAATAATAATAATGGAAAATAATGGCTAAGTTCTGTTTCTGTTATAATTTTACTGCTCCTTTCAATTCCCCATTCCAACCGGATTCAGAAGCGAGGAACTTTTGGAAGACTTCCGTCCCTCCTCTTTGCCATGTGGTAGACACAGTGGGTACCATAATTAACCTTGATTCGCCTCTGTATGCTTATCATAACTGTGATATTTTTTTAAGCCTGAGAATACCTGTGACATGTTTTCTTGAACATGACAACCACATTTGATGCTGTTGTACTGACACCTGGTGGCAGGGCTTGTAGTTACATAGAGTATAAGCCATTTCTGATGAAAAATAATTACCCTATCTCTCTTAGGTGGAGTGCCCTGGGAAGGGCCTTCAGAAACTGTTAAAAGGAAGAGGAGAGAGAAAAGAAGGGACAGGGAAGAAGAAGAGAGTGAGAGAGGTGTGGTGGATTCAGCATCTCTCTCAGGAAGACACTGTCATGGGGAGACCCAAGAAAACACTTCATCCTGACAGCAAAGTTTAATCTTAGACTTCAGACTGTAAAATATATTAGCAAGACAAAGGAATCGTGCGATATCATCAACACTGGACAACCAAAATTATTCAAATGACTTAATATTTACCAGATTAAGAATGTTAGCTTGATTGATCTTTGCATTGACAAAGCAGAAAACACATCTTAATGCTTACAGATTTTAAGACATTTTAAATCCTACCTCATGCCAACTAAATGTTTAGCGAAAAGGCACTGTTGTAGCCTAATAGATCGCATTGAATAAAGAATTTAAGATAAAACAAACAACAGACTTTTTTTCTTTTATATCTTCTTTTGCCGACAAATCTGCTTAATTAAACCACCTGCCAAGCTGGAATTTACATTCCAATAAAAATAGTGTTTTTTCAAGGCTGGGTAGTTCATGCAAAAATGAAAATTCTGTTATTAGGCTACAACCTCATGTCGTTGCAAACTTTCGTTCATCTTCGGAACACAAATGAAGATCTTTTTGATGAAATCTGGGAGATTTCTGTCCCCCCATTGACAGCTACAACTATCGCTTTGACGCTTCAGAAAGTTCATATAGCGATAGAAGATTTTGTTGGGTGAAAACCATAGTGAAAACATAGAGTGAAAACCATTTAAAAATCTATAAATTATCTTTGCTGCCCTCCGCTGGATTGAGACAGAACTTCATTTGTGTTATTATAATACTGGAGTAAGCTAGCCTACTTCGGTTTGTTCAGAAATGGGGTTCACCTGAATGCTTTTCCTTCATTCTTTTAAAATGAGTTTCATTTGTTTTGTTGCTGTTATAGGCTATAGTGTCGTGTTCCATTGTGTCAGGCAAACCTGACTTTCAAGACAGGCCTACAATTAATTTGTTTGTCTCCCACATTTTGCCAACTGAGCAAATAAAATCATAAAACAATATTATGTCAATATTATTTATAAATTAATGTAGTGATGATTGGTTTTTGATATCTGCACTATAATTGAAAAATTGTGAACATTATTTGTAAGATATTTACATAGGTGGCTTGCAGTTGGCTAAAATATAAGAGGTACTGGGCATTTAATAACACTGAGTTGAATCTCAGAAATCTTTTTGAATATTTTAGAAATAGGCCTAGACACTATTGTTTTATTAGATGTTGCTATAGCTACTTTTCCAAATGACTCAAAACATGAACGTTAATAATAGCCTACAAAATCTGATATAGCTAGAAGTAGAGTAGAGTAGCCTTTATTGTCATTGCACTGTGGAGGTACAAGTCTAGGTCTATTAGGCTAAGTCATTTCTAGTTAAACGATAATTTAAACACGTGTCTTAAGTTTCGTTTTCATGACGTCGTTCCCTCCTCCTACTGCCCGTGTTTAGTTTGATAGGCTAATTCGGCGTGAAAACAGCCGTCGTTTTTATTAAGATCAGCAGTTCTGAAAGTAAATTGTCAAGAAAGCATGAGACATATGACAGTGTGTTGGTTTTGTAAATGCATTTTTTGCACATCGCCTATATAATAGCCTATAGCCTACCTTACTTTCGATTTAACTGGGATTTCGTGGAAACTGAAACCGCCAAACGACAGCGAAATGGATGGGTGAGTGGATTTAGGTTACTTGGCAAGACTGTCATGACATGAGTAGCCTATACCTATCACCGAAAAAGTGTAATTAATAAGTGTTGAAATTGAATGTTTACAACGTTATCCACTTGTCAAAGTCGCTGTGTTAAAAAAGGCATACGCTTATCAATCTCTTTAAAAACATGACAACGCTAAATATCAATGCGATGTTATTTTTGAGTAATTTAAAAGTTTTTAAAATAACTTTTTCGACGCGACAGATATAGAAACAATTATAATCAGTTACACTGTGTTCACTGGTGGACAGACAAATCCCCGACACTAAATTGATTAAAAAACTGTAGTAGCCTACATAAACTGTTAAAAAATAAGTTTGAGCCACCATTTCGAGATTCTCAGACTGATACCTCAAATATTCACAGTCATATTTGAGGCACCTTTAAAAGAGTGTCTGTCGAGATATCAGAGAACCCCTAAGGGCCTCAAGGGTCCTCTTTTCATACAGTGTAGTTCATTGGGCCCCAACTACAGGAGGCCAAACACTCCAAATGTGCGATGATGGAATAATGTTATTTAAAAAAAAAAAATGTTACAGCATAAAATGTTGATAGAATATCATGTTTTCAATAGATTTCACATGCCAGAAAAAATTCAAGAGGATCATTTCAACAAAATCAAGGATGTGTTTGCTTCTGAAAGCCCAGAGAAAATTCCCCATCAGCTTATTTCTCTTTTGGAGGTTTTTGACCATTTTAAGATAGATATCGCTGTGACTGGAGAGTCTGGTGCAGGAAAGTCTTCTCTTATCAATGTGTTCCTCAGACTGAATCCTGATGACACGGGGGCGGCTCCAACTGGAGCTGTAGAAACCACAAAGCAACCAACTATGTATCAGCATCCAAATCTCCCACACGTCAGACTGTGGGATCTTCCAGGGATGGGCACCCCTTCCTTTACATCCAAGAGTTATGTAAAGACAATGAATTTTGATCTATATGACATGTTTATGGTTGTGATATCAGAGAGAGTCAGAGAAAACAACATGCTTCTGATCGACGAAATTGGGCAACGAAAGAAGCCGTTTTATTTTATTAGAACAAAAGCTGATAATGATATGCTATCCCAAAGAAAGAAAAGAACATTCTCTGAAAAACGTGCATTGGATCAAATGAGACGAGACTGTGAGAAGTATCTGAAGGAGAAGAAATTGGACCCCCACGTGTTCCTAGTTTCAGCCCATGAGACACAAAATTATGAGATGCAGAAGCTCACAGACACTCTTAAGAATGAGGTTTCTCAGCTTAGAGCAGAAGTATTTTCAAGTTTTCTGGACAAGATGTTTCACGGAGGTTGGATGAATGCAAGGTGAGTATGTACTGTAACTAAATGCTTGTTCAAAACAGTACTAATTTGTCTTGGTAATTCAAATAGTTTGGAAGAGAGTAATTAATGTGATGTTCTTAGAAATTGTATACCTTACACCATTGTCATTCTCTAAATATGTAATTTTTAGTAAAGTAAAAGTAATAACATATTTTCCTTACACCTTTAATAAAGGTACACATCTTAACCATTACTCTCCAAAAGATTTTTTTTTTTTTTTTTACGTGTATCATGAATGAATTAATTATTAACTCATAAACCTCATTACATTTTCTGAAGTTTTATTGGCAAAATTTAACACAAGGAATTTGTTGTGGCATTGGAAATTTCAGTACTTAACATAAATATAAGATACAGAATATAAAAAAACAAATTTAGGGAGTTGCACCACATGACGTTTTACAACCTGAACTAACCTTGCCTTGTCATAAAAAGTCAATATCAATTTATTTGATATTTTATTGACTTGACTCAATAAGGGTCTCCTGGGGGTCCTCTCTATGATATCATTTCCTGATCTGTTTAAGCATATTGGACCGCATGATTTTTTTTTGTCAGAAAAAAAGTTATCAAACATCAAAAAGCAGTCATTTTTACTTAATGAAGTTTTATTTTTCAAGAGTTAAAATTTTAATGAGCCTTTTTTCTTCATTATTATATCAGGACATTGGTATCAGCTGATACTTTTTACTTTATACCCAAAATCAAATATCACAATTGAGGGTCTGTTTACACAACACCATTTTCAACTAAAAACGGAAAACTTTTTATGCATTTTGGCCGTTCAACAGTGTTTTGACGGCCTGATAATGCAAGCTTTTAAAATCGTGTTTCAAAGTGCAAGTTTTTGAAAACGATACCGTTATAGTTTCCATGTAAAAAAACAACAACAAAAAAAACGTGAATTTGTGAAAACGGTGATGTCATGCGCATGCGTTATTACGTGTTCAGTCTATAGGCGTGTAATATTTATTTACAAAGTGACTGCAAACTACTGGCCCGGCATGAATAACACAGCTTAACACCCTTATTTTAATTCAGAAATCAAGAACATCGCCATAAATCAGGTTTATCGAAGTAATTGAATGTTTGGCATTTAGAATGTATTTCTGAATAAATGAATAGAGAGGACAATCAATGAATGTCACATCACCGCTATCATTAATTTAATTGATATTTCTTTATTACTTTAGGCATGCGACACGCCACATCCAACAGACTGAAAAACTTCAAGGTGACGACATCACAACATTGCAAAATATGTATAAGCGCACAGGCTTTGGAGCCGCAAAAGTCAGTGTTGTACTAGAGGCTCTGAGTCACTTTCAGCTTGACGTAGCAGTTTTGGGTGAGACGGGGTCTGGAGCATCCACTCTAGTAAAGGCCTTAATTGGTCTTGAGAATGAGGTGAGTGATGCAGCAACAGCATACATCAGCAACCCTGCAATGAGTCCTGGATACCCAGATGTCCGGTTCTGGGATGTATCTGGTATAGAGGCACACATGGATTACTCAATGAATTGTACGAAACAAGTCCTGAATTGGTATGACTTCTATATCATCATTCTATCAGACTGTCAGAAAGCACGGCATATAAAACTAGCTAAAGCAGTTGAACAACTAAGAAAGCATTACCTCTTGGTCCAAACCAAAGCAGACTGTCATCTACAGACGCGAACAGATTTGTACTGTGATGAGACTGAGATACTTGATGGGCTACGGGCACAATATACACAAGAGCTTCAGATGGCAAATCTGTATGAACAACAGATTTTTCTCATCAACAGCCTAGACAGAAGTGCATTTGACTTTATAGGCTTGGAAAGTGCGCTGTCCGGTGACCTCAACACTGTCAGGGCAAGTGCTTTTGCATATTATATAGCAAGAATTGTAAAGCAGAATGATCGCTGAAAAATTCCACTGTACACTCATGTTTACATATGAAATGAGGTCTGGCTATATATTGAAATGCAGTGGAAGGATCAGGGCCTTTTCTGTACCTCAGATGAGCCCGTGAGACTCTCAGCTTCACGTAGCCTATTTCCTAATGTCGGGTTCGTCTTCTTTTTTATTCCAGAACATTTGATATAAATTGTATTGATTATCTTTGAACTGATGATAAATTTACCTGACATAATTGTTACATTTGATGATTCTTCTACATGACTTTGATACTTTGATATGATATCATTAGAGTTAAAAGGAATTAGTCAAACATTCACGTATTTAATGATGCACAGATATAATTGAAAAACCTTTTCATTTATGGAGTCAGATGAAATAACGAGTTAATACATAAGATAAAATGTCTTTGCCATGAGAAAAGACGGAACCCGCGTGAGACCTTTACCTCTAATCGAATACGCCATTGGATCCAAGACGGCCTTACAGCAGCATAAATAAAATAACACAGAAACATTAGATATGATGCAGAAATAAACTGTTTAATTTAACATCAAATATTTCTGCTTACTGTTTTTGTTTATAATTGGTGTGCAATAAAATATGTGAATGAAATAAGTATAATATGCTGAAAAACTACTGTATGTGTTTTCCTGAGGTTTAATTCATGGGATTATTTCAGTTCATACAATGAGTAATCATCTAAAATAATTATGAAATAATCACATGTTGTCAAATACACTAAAAATATTACATTTTCTATTAAATAATATGTTTAGAAAATTCATATGATGTTAAAAATCTAAATGTTAACGCATCTGTGTTTTATTTACGTAAAAAATTAAAGCTATCGGCACAACACCTTACAGCACATGAGTAGCCTATGTGAGATGATTAAATGTTATTCTGTTGTGAGTTATTCTGTTTGGTTAAAAGGTAAATGTGTGATTATTGTTGTGTGTTAAATGAGATGCAAACTTGTGAATACGTGGAGTAATGTTTTAATAAACTGTTTCCTCAAGACGCTACTCAGGTTAATTTAATTCACTCCGTGAAGCTTGAACTACATTTATTTGAGAAAATGTGTTTAAATGGCTGATACATTTTGTTGTGTACTAGCCTAATAATTTATTCATTGTCACAATTCATTTTCAGTAGGCTAAACCTATATTGTGAAGCATCGCATTTTGAGTGTCTACTGATAAACATACTCCCTTTCAGGTGTAATAGATAAGCAATTAAAATATAGTTAATTAATATACTGTATAGTTGATTGTGATTGTGTCTTTGAAACATGTAAAGAAAATGCAAACTGATTTCAAAACTGTTGGTGATCAGAAGCATCCTGTCTGTTATATATCTGATGTTAATGGTTTGCGCTTGGTGCACTGATCAACTACATTTTCTCTTAAGTCATATGTTTTAAATGTAATATTGTAATTTAAGTTGTTATAAATAAACAGAAATTGGTTGCACTTTATTTTGCAGTACATACACTTTCAATGTACTTCAGTGTACTTATCACAAAAGTACTGAGTAGTGCAAGGTAACCACATGGGTTAAGTTAAGGTTTAGGGGTAGGTTCAGGCTAAGTACATTACTACAATAAGTACAGCATGTGAAACAGGACTGTAAAATAAAGTGCTATCCAGAAATAGGACACTTTGTAATGAAACCACATGTATGAGCTCTATTTAAATTGTCAGTATCAATATAGCCTTCAGGCTTCATATAGACTTAGACTTAGACTTATCTTTATTGATCCTTTTAGGAAGACTCCCGCAAGGAAATTGAAAATATATTCTGATTCAAAGGCACCACATTTTGCTTTTGATTGTTTTGTCCAAATTATTGCAAAAGAATAGAAGAGATAGGGACTGCTATGCAGATTGTCAAATCAAGGCAGAAATACCTTCATCTGGAAGGCACAATCCCTGACAACATTCAAAAGACAGCTGAAAACACCTCTCTTCTGTGAGCACTTGTACTGTATGTAAAAATGTAATGTATTTCCTTTTCCTGTAATCCTCCCTCATCTGGCTAATGCTACTCATAGCAATGCCTAAACTTTGTATTTTGAGCACTTTTTGCGTTGTTTTTGCCTCTTCATGATGACTTGCTTGCTTTAGTCCTCATTTTTAAGTCGCTTTGGACAAAGGGGTCGGCTAAATGACTAAATGTAAATAAGACTATTTCTTTAATAAAAGGTTCATGAAAATTTCACCACACTTCTCGTTATGCAAACCATAAAAAAAAGTTTGTAATGGGCTGGTTAATTATACTATAACATAATATTTCGATTTTTTAACAGACCTGAAAATCATAGAAATAATTTTAGTGAAACTATGCTAATCTAGATGATAGTTATTTGTCCCTATAACTCTAGCATGAATCATGTGCACTTTCCGGATCAATTTGTTATTGGTAACAGCACAAACAAATACTTGGTATCAATGATAAGAACTGGACTAATCTTTTACTGTGACACCCAACGCAATGGCTTAGTCACACCTTACTTTTCAATAGGCTTCATACATTAAAAATGTGTCATGCAGCTGATAAAACACCCGAAAATAAACCTGCATGTGAACAAAGGGTGTTTTTCTTTTTGTCTTACAATAGCTTCATGTATTCACACACCAAACCAACACTTTTGAGAATTCAACAAATGAACTGCCAACACTACATCTTAAATATGTATGCAAAATGTAGCACCATGGAACAATTTTTTTAATTTCAGACAATCACAACACTTGTATTAATAAAAAATTGTAAACCAGAAAATCTATTTATAATCTTTGGCCCTTTTTAATGTAAACATTTTGGATAATAAATTCAAATCCCTAACTCATAACTATAGCTTATCCTGAAAATCAACACATGACATATGCCTTTTATTATCATTTGTCATCAATAAGTGTAATTTAATTAACAATATGGATAAAACAAATGCATTAATTAAAAAAGTAACTATGGAATATACAGAAATGTTTATTATTAAGTAAAAGATACTGTAAAGAGATCCTAACCCTTGGTATTAAGCCCTTCTACATTGTAAAACAATTAAAAATTCAAGTTAATATTCCTAATTTACAAAATTGCACAATAAAAAGATTAGACAAAAAAATTCTTGCACCAACCACCAGATTCCCACATTTTTACACATTTGACCAATTCTGTTCTTAAAATACATATTATTCCATATTCCATTCATGCACCTTGATAAAATACAAAGAAAATTACTGGACAATATTCAGTATAACTTTCTCTTTCCAGCCATTTTACTTTTTGGGGGGATAACTCTCCAGTGTGAATTCCCCAAACCTATGGCTAATAAACTAAGTTTTGATGTTCTGATTTAACATAAACAGTTTTGGTAAACATCTCTTTGATTTTATTCATTCACACCTGCTTCTTGGAGAACACATCTCATGTCATTGATCATGTCATTTAGAGCTCCACTCAAGACAGTGTGTGTCGCTTTGAAGGCCTCCGTTGCATGCAGAAAACTGGTTACAAGATATTTACTATCTAGCAAATCATCTAAGCTTTTCACTGGTTTTGTTGTCATAGATGCACGAGGCCTAGTCGCCAGTGTGTTTACTACTGCTAATGTTACAGGAGACTTTATAGCTGACTGCAGCTGTGAGACAGGCTTGTCCATTCTCTCTGACAGTTTGATGAGTGATTTCTCATTCAAACCCAAACTGTAATGACAACTTAAGAGATATGCCATCAACACCGTCTTGTCGATGGCCAGAGATAATACAGGGTGAGGGACAAAGGCAACCAAACCTGAGGCCAATGCTGGAAGCCAAATAAGCTTCTCCATATACTCTTTCTTCTTTTCTAGCATTGCCAGAGAGCACACAGGCACAGACTGAACCAGAGCAAAACTCTTGTGTTCTGAAAGGTCTGACTCTAGGGTATCTACCAGGTCTTGGAAGTCATATTTTCCCAAGTCATAAGAGGATATCAGAAACACCTTGGGGTTGCCAACTTCTTTCAAATTTCTGTTGCAGTCCTCTCTAATTGTGCAAAGTACCTGCTGCTCATTGAAATTTCTTTTCTGTGCCACTGAGCGAATGTCATTATCAATCTTGGTCCGGACAAAATAAAAACTTTTCTTCTTTTTTTGAATCTCCTTGGCCAGAAAGACATCATTTTCCTTGAACCTCTCTGAGGAAATGATGATAAATAAATCATATGTCTCAAATTTAACTTCTTTGAGGAATTCGTTAGCCTTGAATTTTGGCATACCAATCCCTGGCAGGTCCCACAGTCGGATGTTTGATTTCGTGGGATGGGTGTACATGGTAATTTGCGTCGTGGTTTCAGTTATGCCAGTTGGTGCAGAAGTATCGTCATCATCACCCAGACCTCGAAATGCATTAATGAATGCAGATTTTCCTGCTCCTGTTTCCCCAGTTACAGCAATATTCAGAGTCACACTGTCAAGACTGTCCAGTTGTTCTTTAGCCTTTGCAACAGCTGCATTTGGGTCATCTTCTCCCAGTCTCTGCAAAGCTCCAGATAAATCCATGTCAGAAGAAGAATTTTCTGTCTTTATGCTTGGTTAAATTCTTTACTGTAAAATACATAAACAAAATATTATAGAAGGGATAAATCTTCTATGATAAATCATTGCATGGTTTAACTAAATTTAAAGTCAAAACTTCTTTTGGTGGGTCATGCATATTTCACGTCTAAGTTTTTCATCATAATTGCAACTTTATATCTCCCAGTCCCAACTGAGATTGTATATTTATATCACAATCTGTTTTTATTCCTTATTTGATTTTTTTTCCATAACTGGAAAATGTAGGAAAATTAGAAATATTATAACATTGGGTGTATAGTTAAACCACACATGCAAATATTTCTCACAGAAAGGTATATATTTTTTATTGAATGAGATTTGATAGAACAAATACATTATGTAAGACTGAAAATGTGTCCAGGTTTCAGAGAAAATTACCACAAATTGTAAGCTATTTAATAACAGGCCTACAAATTAAACATGAAATTGAATAAACAACTTTTTTTGAACAACGTTTCCCCTGACAGTATTAATGACTTATGAAATCATCCATATGCATATAGTGAAGACATAGGGGTACTGTAATCTCTTTTCTAATCAGCAAACAATCAAACATTATGTGGCCATTAACTCCATAACAAAGGCAGAAAATGTTTACATGCCTCAAATTAAATTAATAAAATCAATATAAACCATATACATGAAATGAAAACACGTCCAGGACATCTGCGAGTTACTGCATAGTGTCCAGCTCTGCCTCTTTTCTGATTTCTCGTGCAATATTTGCTAGTTCTTTTAAACCTTCTCTCAAGATGTAATAAGTAGTAGCGAATGATATTCCTGCAGCAGCAGCACTGCCCACAACTGGAAGGAGGCTTGCAACATATTCAACGGTAGCAAGTGTTGCAAGTGAAACAGAGACTTGAATCCTGGCCATTGTTTTTTCACGGATGGCAGTTGCTAACTTTGATTTGGTCAGATGTTCCAGCAAGGGCTTGTTCAGTTTTTCCGAAAGCCTTGACAGTGATCCATCATCCAAACCAAATGCATAGTAGCACCTTGTGAGGAAAAGCAACACCATGCCTGCATCACATGCTACTGACAGACCAGGCACAGGGACCACTGCTATTCCAGCAGAGGCAAGAGATGCAGCCCAGATCATGCCCTCGAAGAATTTGATCTTCTTCTCAAGAGATGCTGCGGAGCACACTGGCCAGGCTTGTAGAAGAGCAGATCTCTTATGGTCTGGAAGCTCTTCTTCGAGAGTGTTTTGAAGTATTTCAAAATCATATTTCTCCAAGTCAAAAGACGATATCAAGAAAACTTTGGGGTCTCCCAATTCTTTCAAGTTTTTTTGACAGTCCTCTCTTATAATGGCAAGAACTTTCTGCTCATCAAATCCCTTTTTCTTTTCCTCTGCTCTGATGTCATTGTCAATCTTGGAACGAACAAAGTAAAAGTTTTTCTTCTGTTTTCTTATTTCTTTAGCCAGCATGATGTCATTCTGCATGAACCTTTCTGAGCTAAGGATAATGAAGAAATCATAGGTGTCAAGTTTGACATCTTTAAGGTATTTATCTGCTTTGAAGTTTGGTGTTCCTATTCCAGGCAGGTCCCAGATCTTCACATTTGGCATAGGATGTTCATACATGGTGGCCTTCATTGTAGTTTCTGTAACTCCAGTACACTGTAAACCCGAATAAGTTGGCACAACTCAAAAAATTTAAGGCAATCAGTTGCCTCAAATTTTTTAAGTAAAGAAATTCAAAGTTTAAGTAAGCAGAACTGACATATTTTTATTTTGTATTTGTACATTTGAATTGTTCTTAACTTGAAATGTTTGAGTACACTAATTCATACATTTAACTTAAAATTTCATGTAATCTCAATGTGAACACTTTTATTAGTATAAACTTAGCTAGCTTTAACAAGCTAGTTTGCTAACATACTATTTTGTTAACATCTTAACAATAGTATGCTATACAGTAACACTTGCAGCAATATAAAGGTTTTATTTGCTCTCAAATCAAGCTCATGCACCACTTGTCACCATGATGGTAACTATCCTAAAACCAACATTAACAGAAATTCTTCTAAATTAGCATAACGAAACATTAATCATTACTAAATCACCCGATTAACATTAATCTTGCACAAAAACACATTGTATTACACTTAATTTTAGCATTTACTCTCCCTTTTGAGTGCCATCGGCAAAGCATGCTGGGAAATATACATCCCAGCCGTTTCAGTTAAACTTAAGTTCGTCTAAATTAAAAGAAATAATTTCATAAAACTCAAAACAATGAAACAGTTCAGTTTACTTAAAATATATCCATTCTGTGAACTTGAAAGAAAAAGAAAGTGCTAAATACTCATAAAAGTTAATTTGACTGAACTAATTAGTTTAATTTAAGTTTTTCCTACTCAAACTAATTAAGTATTTTGAGCGTTAGGGTTTACAGTGTAGGTGCTGCTCCATCATCATCTTCACTTACACCTCTAAGGGCATTTACAAAGGAGGATTTCCCAGATCCTGTCTTTCCAGTCACGGCGATGTTAAGTGAGACATTTAACAACTGGTCGAATGTTTCTTTAGCTTTTGCTGTAGCCTTTTCCAGGGTGGACTCGCCTGATGCCTTTACTGCCTCAACAACAGCAGGGTCTTGAGTTTCCATGTTTTAAACTGTAAAAGTTAAGTATATAGAAGTATATGCTTCAACATTTATTCTTGAAGCATAAATGCTAATAATTCCTGTTATTACAATAATCATCAAATAGTTTCAGTTATGTGATTCACATTTAACCCAAAGTGCTTTGTTTAATAAATGTAGTCAACGCAGAGACCTTGTTACTGTTTACCGGCTAGATGGTGTTTTGCTGTTCCCAAATGGTCAGGGACTGTAATAAATCTGGTTGATCATGTTTATCAACTAACATTTGAGTACTAAAACTAAAATCTTTGAATAAAATGGAATTAGATGCAATTTATGTTCGGGCAGTTTCAGTTAAAACAACCCCCCTCCCAGTGAGCTCTTCTGCCCTGCATGTGGTAAAAAATTAACCATGAATAATAAAATCGACATTATGGGAACAGACCAAATGGATAATTAGCTTCAGCAGCATAAATGTAATGTGTAAAGGTTGTAGTGTAATTTTGGCGACTTGTTAATGAGAGACACAATAAAGTAATTCAATAATTGAAGTGACAAAAAAATATATAGTCTACTTACTTTTACGTTTTTTGTTCCAGCAGTAGGCCTATGACACACTGTGACTGTCTTAAGTTACATGTGAGGCTTAAGAAATAAGATGAATAATTTTTTTAAAGACAGAAATACGGCGCTGTTACCTTCAGTTTCAATTCCCAAGAACTGCTTTCTTCTTCCTAAACATTTACAGTATACGTCATCGTAGGCGTGTCTCATCATGGGATCTGTGAGTGACAGCCCAAATGGCCAATTAAATCGCTGCACTGAGAAGCTCTGTTGTATCCGCCATTCACATACGATCCTCTTTTCTTTTTCTGGCGCATGTAATTCGGATAATTCAGTTTCGTTGGCTCCGTTTCTGAAATCTGCCAGCAGCCTAATCTAAAAAATGACCAGACATGTCATTATGAATAAAAAGAATATAGGCTATATAGACTGCGAATAAAGTCTGTTTTGAGGAGTTTTCATTAACACTTTGCAGTTTATGATATTAGCCTATGTAGTAGGCTATATCTTCACTATAAATCAGACTACTACATACATTGAGTTGTAGTTATCACGTTACTTGTTTGCAGCAGTTACAGCAACCATAGACAGTAAAAGAGACAGCAACAGACATAACTCTGCATCGTCTTCAACTACCTTTACAGGTCAGGACATGGTCAGGACACACAACACTTGTAATACAAACACGACACATAGTGGTTACTCTAGGATACTACAGCCTACATGGAGTTTTATATGGCAGTGTGCTTCAAAGAATTGAGCTGTAGCCTATATTTGGTTTTACAATTTCATCATTCATTTCATCATAATGGGTGATTGGGTTGAAAGGTCCCTCGTCAATCATATCTGAAGAAAGCAGTTTGTTGTGTTTATCATTATTATCGTTGCACATCAAAATTTACCTTAAAAGCAAACAATACCATCATATGTTTTGTTTATATATTAAAATACAATTTTAATAACAGTAGCCTGATAAAAAAAACTGAATTAAAATTTGTAAGATTTATTTATATATTTATTCATTTTTTTACTTTTTTTTTTTACATTGTTTTAAAATATTAACTATACGACATAGAACACAAATTTGTTGTAGTCCTATATTTTGTTTGTTACAAACTGTTGTACAGCTATAATGGTAGCATTAGTCGAATATTATAACAGTCAAATATTTTCTCCTTTTGGATTTTTTTTTTTTTTTTTGCAACAAGCATTTAGCCTACTGAAAAAAAAAAGAAAAAAAACTGTTAAAAATAGACTACTCAATTAGTATTAATAATTAGGCCACAGCACACAATAGAGCAAAGAGTAATAGCTTTCAGAAAATCTTTACCTATTCAGCTATTAGTTTATGAACACATTTAAAAGTGGTCTCTTTGGAAAATGCTACTGCAGTATTTCACATGATATAATGGGCCATTTTTAAGATCCATTAAACACAAAAAGCATCCTTTTGTTCATGCTCAAATGGCTACATTTTTGGATCAGTAATATTAAGCTACAAAGTCAGAACAGAAAAGAATCCAGTCTAAAAATAAATCTAGATATTACATATTATTGTTGTTTCAGTGCCCCACCCCAAGTGTGTATGTATCGCAGTCTTGAATGTTTTACTTTTTGTCCTCAGTCTTGGTTTAAAGTCAAAGAAAATTTTTAGTTTTTAAAAGTTATTTACATGTTTTAAAACAGATTTGAGTGATTCATACTATTGCAATATGGCAATAAGCTAGTTTAACCAAAAAGATCAATGACCACAGCAGTGTCATGACCTTTTGACTCTGATCTATTTTAATAGACATCAGTCAGACCTGCAGCTTTCAGCACTTCTCTGGCTGTATCCGCAAGATCTTGAAGTCCTGCTCGCAGAAGGTTCAGTGTTCCAGAGTAAGACATATCTGCTGTTATTTTGCTCCCTACAACAGGAACCATACTCCATGCGAATTTAACAGCTGCTTCCTTACTTGTCAGTGCTGACAGCTCTTTATTACTGAGTTTCTTTTGCCCAATAGCAACCACTAGAGGTGAACTTCTTACAGATTTCAGGGATGGATTATTGACCCTCACAGACAACTTGTCGATTGATTCATCATCCAAACCGAAGGCGTAGTAGCACTTGGTGAAGAAACCCAGCAAAATGCCAGCATTACAAGCAATGGAAAGACCAGGCACAGGAGCCACAGCAATGCAACCAGACGCAACGGCTGCTGGCCAGGTTTGCTTAAAAAATGTTTCGATTTTCTTCTCCAGAATCCTGGAAGAGTATATTGGCAAGGACAAAACCAAAGCATCTCTCTTGTGAGCAGGTAGCTGCTTCTCCAATGTGTCGATGAGGGCCTGAAAATCATATTTATGCAATTCAAAGGAGGAAATCAGGAAAACATTTGGGTTATCCTTAAGGTTTCTATGGCAGTCCTCACGAATGTGAGAGAGCACTTTCTGCTCATCAAAGTCTTTCCTTTGAGATTCCGCTTGAATGTCATTGTCAATCTTCGAGCGGAGGAAATAAAACAACCTCTTCTTCTCTTTAATTGCTTTAGCCAGCATGATGTCGTTTTCTTTGAATCTCTCTGAGGAGATGATGATGAAGAAGTCAAAGGCCTCAAGATTGACCTCTTTTAGATATTTTTTGGCTTTGAATTTGGGACTTCCAGTCCCTGGCAGATCCCAGAGTTTTATATTGGGCATTGTAGGATGTGTGTACACCGTTGGTGTCATTGTCATCTCAGTCACTCCAGTGGGAGCTGCATTGACATCATCGGGTTGAAGACCTCGCATTGCATTGATAAAGCTGGATTTTCCTCCGCCGGTTGATCCTGTAACAGCAATATGAAGTGTGACGTTGTTCAGATGCTTGAGTTGCTCTTTTACTTGTTCTGTTTCGCATTCAGTACTAGTGAGTAGATCACAAGGCACTTCATATAAATGCTCAGTGTCTTGCATGTTAGGATTCATTTTGATACCTTTTCTTTTCTTTTTTGATTTTAAACACAGTTTCTCTTTTGCTTTACACTGAGACATGTTTTCTGTGTCATTGTGTGACTTCTTGGCATCTGGACACACTGCTTCAATGAGTAATTCTTGCTTCTGTATCTTCTTAACCTCCTCATTATGCTCTTTTGTGTCCACATTTTTCATTGGTTCACTGGGATTAGTCTTACTAGGTTTTTGTGTCAAAATGGCTTTTTCCATTATTGCATCACGCTGGTCTTGTAAATGGCCTGTTTCGACACCTTCAGGCTGTTTTGTTGTGTGAATGTCTGTAGCTTTCATACACACCTTTTTAATCATAGCTTCATTTGTCTTCTGAGATGGAATGTTTAAGATTTGTTCTCTTTGTTCCTCTTTATTATCAGCCTTCACATGTTGTTTTTCTGTGGTCACTTCACGTGGATCCCCAGCCATGGTTTGCTTATTTTGCTCCTCAAGACATTTTTCCTTGCGTATCATGTCAACATTAGACACTTCTGAGTTTTCTACAGTTGTTTCATTTGTTATATTTATCACTTCTTTCTCTGCTTGCTTTTCTTTATCATTCTCCTTTTTTTCTCTCATCTTTTCACTGTCCTTCACACCATTAGGTTTTATTTCAACAATTTCCCGTACTGAACAAGTATTTTGTTTGGATGGTTGTTTTTCCATAGGTTTACTGATTTTTGATTGGATGATTCCTAGGGACTCTGTGTTTCTCTGTTGCTCTCTCAACACAATGTCCTTGTGAAAGGATTCAGTAAGCCTATCAGCTACTGCTTTCTGATCAGGATTTGTGCCGATATTGAGGAAAGGGTCTATATAGACATAAACTTCATTTGACATGATGATTCTGAAAAAGTAAAGCAACTTGGTAAATATCACCAAACATTCATGTTTTTTTTCTGCCATAAAGGCAGAGTTTCTAGTAAAACATTTGTCCTGTTTGCTTTGCAGTAATAATGGAAAAATAGTATGGAAAAAATATGGAAGTCAATGGGGCTTATGAACTGTTTGGTTACCGACATTCTTCAAAATATCTTATTTTGTGTTCAGCAAACCACCTTTAAAGGATTAGTTCACCTCAAAATGAAAATTTCCTGATAATTTACTCACCCCAATGCCACCCAAGGTATTCATGTCTTTCTTTCTTCAGTGGAACAAAAATTAAGTTTTTTGAGAAAAACATTTCAGGATTTTTCTACACACAATGGACTTCAAACCAAATTGTTGAAATCCAAATCAATGCAGTTTCAAAGGGCTTTGAAGTGCTTCAAATGGCTCTGCATGATCCCAGCTGAGGAATAGGGTCTTATCTAGCGAAACGATAGGTCATTTTCCCAAAATAGAAAAGAAAATGTATATACTTTTTAACCACAATTGTTCGTATTGTGCTGGTCTGCGACGTGCCAGGCATTACGTAATCACGTTGGAAAGGTCACACTGGACGTAGGCGGAAGTACCGCCCCATTGTTTTAAACATCCAGGATACCCACACGAAAGGACCATTTTAAACAAACTGACACAAAGACATAAATATGTCATTCAACATACAATAAAATTTGAATGATGCTTGTAAACAATGGGGCGGGTACTTCCACCTACGTCGAGCGTGACCTTTCCAACGTGATTACGTAATGCCTGGCGCGTCGCAGACCAGCACAATAGAGGGAATGCATTAAAGGGATAGTTCACTTTGAAATACAATTTTGATATGTTTTAGCTTACCTCAAGGGCATCCAAGATGTAGGTGTTTTTGTTTCCGCAGTAGTTTCAATTTTGATATTTTTAGGTCAAACCGTTCTTGTCTGTCAGTCATATAATGCAGGTCTATGGAGTCTATAATGCAGGTCTTTGCACAGAGAAGTCCAAATTAAACATGATTTAATGACTCGTAAATGTAAGTACACATTGATGGCCTAAGACACGAAACGAGCGGTTTGTGTGAGAAAACGAACAGTATTTATATCGTTTTTACCTCTTGTAACGCGCAGACCAAAGCACCCGCGCCCTCAGATGGACGTGGCTGTGCTACAAGAGGTAAAAACAATATAAATACTGTTCTTTTCTCACACAAACCGCTCGTTTCGTGTCTTAGGCCATCAATGTGTACTTACATTTACGAGTCATTAAATCATGTTTAATTTGGACTTCTCTGTGCATGCTCTTTGAGGTGGTGACCAGACCTGCATTATGACTGACAGACATGAACGGTTTGACCTAAAAAATATCAAAATTGAAACTTCTGCAGAAACAAAGACACCTACATCTTGGATGCCCTTGAGGTAAGCTAAAACATACCAAAAATTTCATTTCAAAGTGAACTATCCCTTTAACGTCACTTTCCTGCCGGAGCACGCCCCCCCGGACTGAGTGGCAAAAGAGCTGCTGCGTGACTGGAGTTAATAGGGGAAACTGCGAAAACGCGAGTAAAACAAACTATCAGTTTAAACTAAAAGTTGGACTCGATATAGTGTTCCTTACAACTTATCAAAGATCCAGTGATCCATGATTATTGACATGCAGCCAGGAATCGTGTTTCCTGACATTTATTTCGACGCCAGGGAAATAAATTAAGAAAATTTGCCTGTAAACGTTTTATATAAATACAATATAGATAGGTTAAATCCGAGTGATCACTTACATTAATGTTATACTGTATATCATCATATCGTCCAGCCCTAAAACTTGTATAGTTTTTTGTCAGTGTTTATTTAAAAACATCCAATTATGCAGAATATCGTGCAGAGCCATTTGAAGCACTTTAAAGCCCTTTGAAACTGCATTGATTTGGACTTCCAACAATTTGGTTAACTTACCGTTGAAGTCCATTGTGTGGAGAAAAATCCTAAAATGTTTTCCTCAAAAAAAAAATTAATTTCTGTTCCACTGAAGACAGAAAGACATGAACAATGGATGGCATTGCGATGAGTTAATTATCATGAAATTTTCATTTTGAGGTGAACTCCTTTAAGTTACATTTAGTTCACTGAGTATTTCCTTTAATGTTGCGCTGACATCTAGCGGCGGGGCAGAAACCGATGTAATTCTCAGTCAGATTACTTATTCCACGAGCGTCCCGTCGGGTGGCAGGTGGTTACCGAGATAAAGTGAGTATTCGGCTGATCTGAAATGTTCCACTCCCATAAGGCAACATACCCCATGTAGAATAAAACTTTTATTTATAGGCTAACAACAAGACAGGAATCTCATTTGCATCTACATCATTTTACATTTTTCCAAAGTTCTATTTATATTTTCAGACGTAAAACATAATTAAATTACCCCCCATCTTTCGTACAGTAGGCCTAAAACAGCCTTACAATAAATTTCTTCACACCAACAGTCTTTGTAGTGCTTCGATGGAAATCTTTCTAATTCTTCAGATTTGCTTACTAATATTGCGTTTTAGCCTATTTGTGATTGAAACAAACAAAACGCAGTTATTTGCGTTTATAGTTAGATAAACTCACCTTGTCTCTGCACAGATGGTTATAATTTCGGTAGCCTACCTCTGGATGTTTTAAAGTGATGTGAGCTGTTTATGAAAAAGTCCCCAGTAGGCTAAGGTGTGGGTTTAAGGTGTGGTTCTGAAAACATCTGAGGACTGAAGCTAAATATTTAGTTAGAAACACTTTATTAGAAAAGTTACGTGACATGCTGTCGATTACCCCAGAAAATAAAATGTAAATCTAAAACTTAACTAAAACTAAACTAAAACTAAATTTGTTATACAAAAGTGTTGAAGAATGCACTTTTAAAAGAAGTCATATATGTGAGTGTCTATTTTAAAATATATGTGATCCACATTTAAATAGGCCTATATATTACTTGCATCTATTGTTTCTTATTTTTTATTTTTCAAAATAATATCTACATTATTTCTCTGCTGTTTCTAACTATACAACACTTAGCAATTCCAAAGATGCACATTTTCATATGAATGCTGTTTAGCAGGAAGTGTTTTACAGGAAGCAGGAATATGTGAAGAATCAGGGCCGTTCACAGACATTTTGAAGGGCAGTGGCCCAAACCAGAAAAAGGGGCACTAATGGTAAAATAATTATAATAATATAATAATTCGAAAATAATACTATTTTTATTTTACAGAAAAAACAGTGCTCTTAACATGCAGGCAGCCTATAAATCATTAGAAAGGTCTAAGGATTTATTATATTTCTTATATACAGTATCTAAGGATTGTTATTAAATGTTGTCTTTTGTTGGACATCGGTTTTATATAAAGTTTCCTTTATAAAGCTGGAGTTGATGAGTGTGTTAATTGTTGACAGCTAGAATATACAGCTTTTACTGTATACAAATCAGTATGTCTTAGGAAAGTCCCCATACAACCCCAACCTGCATTTGTGTGTGTATGTGTCTGTGTGTGTTCTTGTACAGTATATATGGTTTATAAGGATACAAATGGGTATAATGACATGGGTATTACAATGTAAACATGGTTTATGAGAACACTTCCTGCTTCCTATCATTACGCCTGGAGAGTCCCCGTAAACCACATATACATGTGTCCCCACAAATATGGTGCACTCCAAAATCCTTGTCGTTGTGGGGACATTTTTTATCCCCATGAGGAAAACAGCTTATAAATCATACTAAGTGATGTTTCTTGAAAATGTAAAAATGCAGAAAGTTTTCTTTGATGGGTATGGGACAGAATATAGTTTGTACAGTATAATAGACAATATGTCTATGGAATTAAACCCTTTCAAGCCAATCCACAACATTAGTTGCTACAATTATTTGGGAAGCATTGGAAAGAGTTGTCTTAATTATTTTTTTTGTATTTTCTTTTAAAGTTAATTATTTGATAAGATTGCAAAACCAATGAGAGAAGTCTTCTAATTAACTAAAATACACAGTGAAATCAATAAGTATTTTATTGTCGCACAAAGTTCACCATACACACAGTATATACATAGTTATATCCAGATTTCAGACACAAATTAAAATGACATTTACATTGGAAAAAAATTGTGTTTTATTTTCAAATGCTCTAAATCACATTTCAAAAGAATTTTTATTTTAATAATAATTACAAAGAAGTGAGTATAATTAGTGAGTTTACTTGTATCTATTTATTTTCAAAACTACAAGACAGATTTTCTGTAACATCAGAGCTGTTATATAATTTCTGTTAATTTATATATAAGATCAGAGTCTGATCTGAGGCTCATTTCGTTCCACGTATATTAGGTAAGTTGTGATGCCTCAAGAACCTTTTTGGTGTCTTCTGTCATCTCATTTAGTCCCTTGTTAAGCAAGTGGTGCACAGTGGTGATCGCCACCCCTCCCGCCGGTAGAGCTCCTAATGGCAGCAGAGCCATTATGGTCCCCAGCGTCTTGGCCATAGCAATGACTGGTGTAGACAGCATATCTATGAGAATATCATCAGTGACTCCATCTTTGAAGCGTGACGTCTTAGCAGATTTCAGATCCTCCACAGATTTGTTCACTCGTTCTGATAGCACCTCTAGGGCTTGATTTGATAAGCCATAGCTGGTGAAGACTTGTCTAAGGAAATTCTTCATGATGCCAAAATCACAGGCCACTGACAATCCCGGGAGGGGAGGCATCGCCACGAGCCCAGACGCAAAGGCATTCAGCCAAATCATTTTCTTGAAGTACGCTTTCTTCTTTTCCAGGTTTTCTAGAGAATAAACGGGCAGAGACTGAATGAGAGCAAATCTTTTGTTCTCAGGAAGTTCATCCTCGAGTGTCTTGATCAGCTTCTCAAAGTCAAATTTTTCCAATTGAAATGAAGATACTAGGAATATTTTGGATATTCCGACTTTCAGCAGGTTTGACTTACAATCCTCTCGGATGTTACTGAGCAACATCCGCTCATCAAAGTTTCTTTTGTGTGATTCAGCACGAACGTCGTTGTCAATTTTAGTGCGAATGAAATAAAATAGCTTCTTACTCTTCTGGATTGCTGTGGCCAGCTCTATGTCGTTCTCCTTAAACCTTTCAGAGGTCACTATGAGAAAGAAGTCATACGTGTTGAACTTAACATCTTTCAGGTACTTCTTCGCTCTAAATTTTGGACTACCAATTCCAGGCAGATCCCAGATTTTCACATTTGGCATGAAGGGATGTGGGTACATGTTTGGTTTCATAGTTGTCTCAGTTGTTCCTGTGGGAGCTGCTCTCCCATCATCATTAGCAAGTCCTCTCAGGGCATTGACAAAGGAAGACTTTCCTGCCCCTGTCATCCCGGTTACAGCGATGTTAAGTGTAACATTCTCCAACTCCTTCAGTTTACTTTTCAGTTTGTTTGTTTTTCCTGCATTTGGAGAGTCTATTAATTTCTGTATTTCTGAGCCAATCGAGTCTGAATCTTCTTCTTCTTCTTCTTCTCCTTCTTCTTCTTTGTTTGCTGTGACGTCAGACATGTCTACATCATCTCTAGAAACCACATACACATTTTTGTTTTGGTCCTTTTCCATTTTTTTTTTGGACTGATTGTTCGACAGCCAGTATTTGGGGAATGAACTCTTTTGTCTTTAGTCTCTTCTTTGCTGAATGTTTGTGATGTATTTGAAGATGATCCAGATAACTGGCTGGAGCGATCATCGTCATTATAGGGATTTACCACATCTGACATGGTTGCTCTATAAAGTAATACTGAATTAATGAAATAATATTTGATTAATAATAAATTAATAGTGTTAAGTACAATGCCTTATGATGTTATGGTGATACACAATTAACAATTAATTGAGAATATATCCAGTCTCTAGAATTGTGGAAATCAATTGGAAATGACAGATTAACCCACCATCGGGAGTCCAGAATTTTCTGCCTAGCCTCTGAAAGCTTCAGTATCGTCCAGTGCAACATGATTGCTACTTAGAATTATTTCATAATTGATCTGAAAGACATAGCACGATATGTTGCATTCATTCCTTAATTGCATAAAAACACAACATGAATTAGATATTTTTTGTAGAACTGCTTGTAAGCAGTGAGAGCCATTTAACAACAAATTCAACTCGTATAGGACAAAGTATACAATAAATATATTTTTTGTCTAAATGACAAGCTTATTCATGTTCTAACATTCAAATTATGCATGATTTTCTTCCAAAACAAACTGTATTATTATTATTAATATTATTATTATTACTACAAAAGAAAGTATGGGATAAGCCCTGTAAGTCTTAAGACATAAAGACAGTTATTGATATATCATGCTTTACAAACTGATCTTACCTTTGGTAAGTAAGAGTTGAGTAAACAGCATAATTTCAGAACCAAGTATGAACTGCCTTTAGTAGTACGAAAGAGTTTCGTTAACTGTAGTCCTAGGGTGTGTCCTTTATTAAGACCTTGTTACAGTGTGTGTGTGTGTGGGGGGGGGGGGGGGGGGGGGAATTCTAAAAAGAATACATTCATTTTAGAATCTACCTGTATGTTTTTGGCTTCATGGCTTGACGTGTACTAAGGATTGTGAGGGTACTAGAAGTCATGTATGCTATGTAACATGCAACTAATGATAGCTAATATGCAGTTTAGAAAGTGCTTTTATTGCAGGTAACCAAGCTTGGTAAAGCTTGTATGTTGTTTTTCAGACTATGATCGGCTGTCAGTGACAGAATAATGTCTCACACGGAAATGGAAAATAAAAAAACCCCACAAAAAACCCACCAAACCACTAATGACTGCCAGTGAAATGACTGGTGACATTGTTAGGATTTTTTTTAAGCAACATCTTGTACAGTTTCACTTCTTAGCAAGCTCATATACTGTAGGCTAATTGATCGCACCTACACTTGCAATCAAAATGATTCAACCCCACAGTGACTGTAACAAGTTAGCTGTAACTAAGATAAAGTTTAAAAAAAAAGAAATACATACAGGATTTTACATGTACATGGCATATTAAAAGCAATAATGTTTTAATATAGCAATAGTATTTTTAACTTGGATTTCTTCATAATACAGCCATCATAATTATTCAAAGAATATCAGTGAGCTGGAAGGTTTTGCACATAACGAATGGCTTAAGATTCCAGAGTGTCAGAAGCTTGTCCTATGAGTAACATGTGGCTGATTCGTACGAATTCTTACGACCTCACTCGTATGCATTCGTACGATTTGTCTAAACGGTTAGGTTTAGGGGTTCATTTTAACGAATTCATACGAATTGGGCAACTCGTAAAATATATAAGATTTAGCAAAAATCATTCAAATTAGTACGAGTGAGGTTGTTAGCCATGCACCTCGTAAAATTCGTAGGCCTATTGCCGTGAGATCTATCACGGTGTGGGTTTTGTGTCTTGTTCCTTGTTCTTGTCTGTCATGTGATTCCCTGTTTGCCATATGTCTTGTTAATTGTCTGATCATTGTTCCCATGTGTTTCTGATTAGCCACACCCCCTTGTTATCTTGTTAAGCTTGTTTGCCCCTGTTTATTTATAGCCCTTGTGTTTCACTTGTTACTTTGTCAGTTGTTGTAAGTGTAATTGTTGCCTCTGTGATTCCCCTGGTTTTGTTACTTTGTACTTTGAGTTCTGTTTTATGTGTTACTTTATTAAATAACCCTGTGTTTAGATCCTCTCCTTCAATATTATTATTATTATTATTATTATTATTATTATTATTGTATCAGTACTCTTGTTTCCTGGACTAGAAGCTTTATAAAGTGTGATTTATATTTTATGAAGATTTGCCAATTCTTCTAGGGAGTATATCCCTTTATTTTTTATTTATTTATTTATTTTTTAATTATTTTTTCTTTTTCTTGTCATATTCTTCATATTGACTATGTTTCATAACTGCTGTCGAGCCTTTCATGTTTAAAGAAAACTTGTGGACTATGCAAACGTGGAATACTGGATTTCTTCACTGTCACTGCTGGGAAATACCCTTTTTTTTAAGCTGTAGGGGGGAGGGGATGGGAAGATGATTGTAATTGTAACTGTTAAAAACCCAATAAAGAAAATGTACCAAAAAAAAAATTGTAAATGTTTACATTTAAGATTTATACAAAATATTTTATTAAGCTCGTTTTTTTACTTATTTAAAATTCTTAATTCATATGAATAATATAATATATAAGGATTATTCAATTAAATTTGATGGAATTCTATTATTTGAAATCTTGAAAAAAAAAGAAAAAAAGTGTAAGAATCTTTTGGAGTGTAGCGTCCCTACTAAATTTTAGGCCTCTGGATGGTATGATGTTTCCGTGTTCTTTGCTAAACTCACTGTAAAAGTATAGGCCTATGTGCTTTTCACAGATATCTAAACCGACCAGTCTCAGCAATGAAAACCTCAAGGAAGTTTTGAAGTGTACCCATTGACAGCACTGTGCACAGTACAGTGGTTCAACCTTAATGTTATGAAGTGACGAGAATACTTTTTGTGCGCAAAAACAAATATAGCAACTTTATTCAACAATGTCTTCTCTTTTTTTCGTGTCAGTCTCTGACGCTGTTCAGGTTGTAAACACAGTGCAGCGCTTCTGGGTTCTACGTCAGAACGCCGGCTCAGTATTGGCCAGTTCCTGCGTCAGCAGCACATGCATGTGATTAATATTATATATGATTATAGTATATATAGATATGCAAAAATATAATATTACTCATATCATATAATACAATGTTGTATTTATTGTTATTACTTATTACTGTAGCCATTGATGTATTATGGGATCTCATTCAATGCTTTCAGAATCTTGATACTTTTTAATATAATTTTGTTTCTGTATTTTTAAAAGTAATATATTTTAATGGCAGTTTATTTATTGAACAAAAAATTATTCTTTTGTAGGGGGTATACAGTCAAAGACCCAGAACCAGATATGAAGAATGAAGACCCGGAGTCAGAATTATAAAAAATTAAAGAAAAGTTTTACTGAAGATAGTTTGCAGTTTCATCAGCAGAAGTCAGCTTCAAGACTCACACAGGAGTTCGTAGGCCACCTCGCTTACAGTTACAAAGATCACAGCAGTTATACCATTTCCAAGGTCTAAGCTACGTCATTGCTTACAGGTTGAATGATTCTCATTGGCTAAGAAACATTAAGAGCCTAAACAATTTAACACATGTGAGGAGATAGGGGTGCCTATCGCCATTAGTCAAGATAGTTGTCGTCCACTCATTAGATTTAGGTCTGTGGTGGCCTCGCAGGTTCGAGAAGGGCGCCGGGTTGTCTGGTCCGAACGTCCAGAACCTACATAGAATGTCATACGCACACACACACAAATAACAGAAACTAGCAAATAACAGCTCCCGTCCCATCAAGGCTGAAGAGAGTCTGAGCTCCTTATTATCAGTTAAGTATACCAAAACATAATGCTAAAACATTCACTCATTTGGGAGAAAAACAGATCACTGGCATTTACTCCCAAGGAAGGAAATATACTGGAAAGAATACATTTTAATATAACAAGTTTGATAGTAACGCTCAATATAGCTTGACCATCTGTCCAGCGAAGGATCATATGTGTCCACGCTTCCTTTAGGACCCTCTATAAACCTTTCTACTGATCCCAGAGAAAGAGAAAGAGACAAACGGCCTTGTGGGTTACTTGGCCTTCGTGTCCTGCGTGCACTACGTGCAATCTCAAAGTAAGATTGGAATGCACCTAAAAGAAACTGGTTACTTACATCACATGCATTTAAGAAAATATAATTTCACAAGCACAAAGAATATAAAAATTATTATGTGATAATGAATATATTTGATTATTGATTTTTATAAAGGAAGTATATAACCATTCAAAAGGATATATGATTATATATGTATTTGAAGAGGCAAGGGATTTTGACCAACCCTTCACTTTTATTTATCAAAATAAACCAAAAATAGTACAAACATTGCTAAAGAGATTGTTTTGAACGAGTGTTAACTTCGAAATTATTAAAAACATGGTTTTAGCTAAGTATTTGTATCAATACTTTGTGCCTTTTGCCCCATGCTGATGAGCTTTTTACCCCGTTGTGGGGTAAAAGGCCCACCTTGCCTCCTCATACATTTTTAAGATTTTAAACAAACCACTTTTATAATTTATTTTCACACTAAATATGTTGCTCCATCAATGTTCAATAAAAACTTCAAACTTATAGATTGAAAAGCAACATTTTCTTAAGGTGTGCCATTAGCCCCTGTAAAATATACTAGTAGGGAGCTAGGAAGGTGCAGAAGTGGAGGATAGGTGCATGTGATGGCCGAACCTGTGGCCACACATTGATAAGGGTAACAGATACGCAGTCATTCACGATACATACCTTTATTTACATATTGATAGTTATTTTCTTTCTCTTTCAAATCCAGTTATATTTGAGTATAGTATAGGATTTAAGTTTCAGGTATAATAAAATCACTACACAGATTTTGTTTGACAAATTTGCAAAAGCTTTATTTATACATGTTAGTACTTCTTTCG